GGAGGTCCTCTGTTTCTCCTTGGTTGCTGTGGTGAGTTAGAGGGAGGATGTTGCATTTCTTCCTGGGTACCTCAAGTACTAGTTGCTGGGCAAATATCCCAACTATGGACAGGAGAGACATCTTTGAGAGGTTAGCACATGGGCTGGCTGTTCTTCCAAAGGACCTGGGTTTGAATCTGAACACCCAATTGGTGAGTCACAATCACTTGTAACTGCAGTCCCAAGGGATCTGACAGTGTCTTCTTAAGCCCACTTATGGCCGGTAGGCATGAACATGGTGCATGCACACACATACTCAGACACAAGAAATACGCCAATTTAAAACAATAAAAATAGCTGGGCAGTGGTGGCACACACCTTTAATCCCAACACTCAGGAGGCAGAGGCAAGTGGATCTCTGAGTTCGAGACCAGCCTGGTCTACAAGAGCTAGCTCCAGGACAGCCTCCAAAGTCACAGAGAAACCCTGTCTGGAAAAACAAAGAAAGAAAGAAACAAATAGACACCAACTCTTTTTATTTTTTTTCCTTTGGGAAACACAGAACTTCAGGCAAGCCAGAGCCATGAGAACCAGCCTGTTTCTTACTTGTCAAGTGTGTGTGTGTGTGTGTGTGTGTGTGTGTGTGTGAGAGAGAGAGAGAGAGAGAGAGAGAGTTGCCCCAGGCTGACCTTGAACTCAAAATCCCCCACTTCATATTTCCTTAGGAAGCAGCTAAGGCAGTCTTATACCCCTGGGACATGCAGGGTTTGGGATGTGCAAGAACCAAAGTGTGGGATCAGGGTCAAGTTCCTGGAGTGGATGTTGTGCACCGGGAGGCTGGCGTTCAGTCCTTAGTAAATTCTCTTGGCCCGTGAAGTTTCATGGAGGCCTCCGCGTTGGTGTTGTTCTGCTTAAGTCTTGTGGGACATGACAGCTGTCTGAGGCTGCCTGCTGGGGTGCAGGGTGACCTCCTTCTTCGATGGGGGTCCAGTCCCGCCCACATTCCAGCAGGGTTAGGGACACCCTCACCCTCTCAGGTTGAGTCTGAGCACGTTCTAAGGAGGGAGGATCTCCGACCCAGGGCAGAACCCATCCCCTTTTCCGTCCTCTGGACACCCAAAGCAGCAGCTGGCCCCATTGGCTGTGGGCGGGGGCGGAGGATGGAATGTGAGGAGGGGGAAGGGTGGAGGGGGGCGGAAGTGGGGGAGGAGAGGGGTGGGACAGCCAGTGAAAGGACGAAAATAGAGGTGCCTGGATAGAGACCGAGATACAGAAATGCTGGAAGGGACTGAGCCAGGGAACCAGTTAGCCTTGCACCGGAGCGTTCTCCTCCACCTGGCAGGCTAAGCGGCTCACCTGCCCCGCGTGACACAGTCTAGGTGGCCGTGGGTGGGACTGGAATCAGACTCCAGGAAAGATCTCTACGCCCAGCTGCCGCCAGTTCCTTCCCAAGGCCTGGCAGGAGGGTGGAGCTGTTTAGGGCCCCACGGGGGCGGCTGTGCCCTGCGGGCACCATCTCTGGCCTCTTCCACGGGTTCTGCTCCTCCCAGCTGCCCACGCACAGCCACCTCCAGACCTCTGACATCTCAGAGCTTGCTGCCAGGTCCCCAGATTCTCGACTGGAAAGTGGCCACCCCTCCCTCCAGGGGACTCCAGCCTTTGGCAGGAAGCCATGACCTCTAGTGACCTCTTTCTACCCGCCCCCGGCTGCTTGGTCACAGAACTCTGCCCATTTGCGAGGTTACCCCGTTGGTGGGGTTGGCAAACCACACCATTCCTTGTCGCCAGCCTCTACTCCAGTCTTGTCAACCACCTAGGTCAGCCTGGGCATAAGGTTGTTTAGCACTGACTGGCTTCGACCGCGCAGCCATCCTTCTGCCTCAGCTCCTTGAGTGTTGTGGTGACAGGTGTGCGGCCACCCACCTCTCCCTCACTTCTTTACCGAGGCCATAGACAAGGGCAGCTAATGATGACTTTAGCCTGGGATCCTTCTCACCTCATCCAAAGTGCCTGCCCTGCGTGCATTTTAAAACCATCATCCTCCCCATCCTCCATCTCTGCCATCAGCCTTCGCAGCTTCTTCCGGATGATTGGGATTTCCGTCAAACCTGTTCTACTTTTTCTGCCTCCACCTCCCAAAGGGTGGTTCTAATCAGGGTCACGGTTAGGCGCCACATCTCCATCAGCTCAAGCTTAGACTTGGGGGAACTTCTTCAGGGCCCTAGCCAGCTTTGCCTTTCCCTATTCCCCTGGTCCCACAACACAACCTTTTTCTCTTCCAACAACACTTGGCAAACTCCTATTCGATCCGCAAAGCCTCCTCCTACAGGTCGCATCCCTTCTTCAAGTCCTCCCAGAGGCTGGGAACTGCAAGAAAACCAGGTGAAGGTCAGTGAACCCGAAAAGGATGTAGCAGGAAATGCTGGTGTGCACAGCGGGGTGCACGTGGCGTGGCGTGCCTGTGCTGGGGGTCCACGTGCGACGCCCCCAGGGACGCCCCCTCTTCTGTCCAGGCTCAGCCTCAGCCGGCAAGCCTTGGGTGCGTCTCCGCCCCCAAGTTTGCAGACGCGCGGGCAGCGGGCGGGGCCGCTGCGCCTCCGTGCTCGCGCACTCCGCTTTGCCTGGCTGAAGTTCCGCCTCCAGAGGGCAACCTCGAGCTATTGGTTCGTCCAGAAGGCCGACAGACGGTTTCACCAATCAGACCTCCCCAAGGGCGGGCGGAGCCTGGACCGAGGGGCAGGCGGGGGCGGACAGGGAGCCCTCCCTGCGGTGACGTCGCGAGCCTCTCGCGGCGCATTGCCCTGGCAACCGCGTTTCCATCTCGTCGGGTTTCCGGGGGGCCGCCCCCTCCCATTCAACTTTTTCCTCAATGGGGTGTTGTGGGGGGGGGCGGAAGGAAGCGAAGGGCCGATCCCGCCCCTCTGCGATTTTGGCAGCCTTTGCTGTCTGAGCCTCGGTTTACCACATCTTCCCTGCCACATGCACTGGGCTTTCACCTCGGGGTGACGGCGATCGCCCTCTGGGGTTGTTGATCTGTCCAGGCTGAGGGCGATCGGGGTGCAAAAAGCATTGTGATGGGATGATCTGGAGTTGTCGTAGCCTGATAGGGTCGTGACCTTAGACTCCCCAGCATACATGTACCATCTCCAGGTTCAGACCTTGAGATCCCCTGGGATGTCCCTGGCTTGTGGACGTGGCTGGAGACGCAGGAGCCTCCCTTTCTGGTCCCCCAAAAGCGCTGGGCGGTAAGTGGCAGCTGCCCCTCCAGGCCTGACTCCTGGGTCTTTCCCATCATCACCAACCTCGTATGGCCTCAGAAATCCCCAAATCTTTGAGCCCATTGATATGGAAATCTCCAGGGATCAGACTTGACCGGACATCCACCTTCCTGGCGTGGTCGTGGAACAATTTGGGGTGACTGGAGATGTCACAGGGCATCCTTGGGGAAGCACCTGCTTCCTCACCCACTGAGGCTATGGGGAGAGTACTAGAGAATGTAGATTCCAACCACAGGTCTAGACCTCTATGCCCAGTTTTCTGGGCTGTAAAACGGGAGTTTTACTCAAAGGGCTCACTAAAAGAATTAAAAGGATGTGTGTTAACTATCTCAGCCCAGCCCCAGAAGGCATGAAGGGCGGATCCCATAGAAGCCCTTTGTGCCTTATGGAGCACCAGGTTAGCTTGTGCAGGCAGTCCACCTCAGGGTAGTTCCCAGGCATAACCAGGTTGTCCCCAGATGGTGCAAGGCAAATGCTCGGAGGACTGGTGCGTGACCCTCGGAGGTGGAAGGGGAATGTGTGTGTGTGATGTCTCCGAGAAGAGCCTGATGAGGTCTGAGAACTTTGCAGCGGGGAGAAGAGTGGTAGACACTGGGAAGCACTTCCCAGTGTCTGGGTTAGAGCACCCCTCCCACTCCAGTGAGCTGGGAATGCCTGCCCGGATACTGACTCCCAAGTTCCCGTCTTAGCCCTCTTGACAGCCGGGAACTAAGAGGGTGAAGGCCTCGCCCAGGGCATGCCCCAGCCCCACGCCCAAAGGGACTTCCGGCCATGGGTAGCAGGAAGTGGCTAGGCGCTCCCTCCCTCCACCCTAGGCAGCTTCCTGCCAGCCCCAAGCTGGGGAAGAGTCAAGGGAAACCATTTAGGGGAACCTGGAACCCTAAAGGAGCAAACGAGGGCTCTACTTCACATCTCACTTTCGTTTATTTGAAATTAGGTGCTCGTGTAAGGTTCTCCCCCCCCTTAAAATTTCATTTTAATAAAATACTTGGGCTAGGCGGACCCCCCCACAGCCAAATTCTCTCCCCTAGGGTGGCTAATGCTATCTGGGGAAAGTCTGTGAGTGTAAGGAGGAACTATGGGTGGGCTCCTGCCTGAGGCCTCCACCCTCAGCCCAGGGGACACATCACAGGCGGCTAAAAAAAAAAATCATAAAAAACCCCCAAAAAACACACATTTAAATAGGTATCCAAGACAGCTTAAAAAAATGTACCCATTTAACCCCCCCTTTCATTTTGGAAAAAGACTGAAAAAAAATAAAGCAAACATAAATCTTGGCCTCTACCCTCCAGGATCAATCCCTTCCCCACCCCCCACCCACTTTACAGCTACAGTCAACACTTGCTCACACCCCAAACCATTAAGGGTAAACGGGGGGGGGGGGCAGCAAACACCTGGGGTTCACAGACTAAAACAAAGGAGCCAAGGACAGCTGGAGCCTACGTAAAACAGATGTTGGGGGTGTGCACACATCCCACTAGCACAAACGTTTAAAAATAAGAAAAAACCATACAAGTTTCACCCTTGTTGAAAAGGCCCCAATTCGAGGGGAGGGCTGTCACCCACAGATCAGTGAGGCCAATTTGGACCAGCAGCTTGCCCTCCCCTGGGCGGGGTTAATGCAGTTACAGCTGAGCACCCCATACCCCATTCTTGCTGCACATGAGGCTGCCCCTCAAGCTGGGTGTAAGAGGGACAGGGGTTTCTCTGGACCCCTGGCCACCATCTACCCCAGTTTTTTCCCCCCCTAGAGAACAGCAACCACTACTGGCTCAGTCAGAAAAAACGAAATCTATAAATAGTCTCTCAAGCTCCACTGGGAAGAAAGGTTAGGGAAGTAGGGGGTATGTGGAGGGAGGGGACAGTGGAGTTGGTGATCTATAGAGGTGGCCTAAAGCCTGTCCTTTCCTGTGAGGAAGACGGGCACCCCCAGCTGACCAATCACCTGCCTTATCGTTCTCCATCCTACTAGCTTGTCATGGCAAGAGCAGGGCCAGCCAGGCACAGTGGCAAAGGCCTGGTGTAACGCTGAGACTGAGGCAGGAGGAAGGGTGAGTTGAATGGGAATTGTGGACAAAGGTTTTCCCTGTGAGACTATTCTATTAGTTTCTCAGGGTGGGAGGGGTTGGGGATCCAGCTGGCCTGGAATGGAGGCCAAGTCTGCAGACAGAGGTGGGGGTGGACACTCATCCCAGGGTCCCCAACCCTCATCTGTAAAGTGCTTCTTGGAGAAATCTACATTTTGAGTCAAAAACCTGAATCGGGTTATGGAAGAGGGGTGGGGGGAGAGCCAGGCAGAACGGAAGGGCTGGGGGTGGGTGGCTTCCTCCGTCTGGGCCATCTGGGAACAGACTGCTACATATTTGGAGCTGGAGAAGGTGGGAAGGAAGGGCCCTGGCAGAGGCCCCCAGAGCCGACCATGGTAAGGAAGGAAAAAAGATAGGCATGTGACCAGGGACTCAGGGCAGACAATCGGGGGAAGAGCTAAAAAAGAATCAGAAAGGCTGGTGAGTGGCAGTGGAGGTGACCTCCTGCCCCCCAGAGCTGGGCTACTCATCGTCCAGGCTGTGATGCCCCACTTGCCCCATGTTGGGGTGGGGATGTGACAGACCCAAGGGGGCTGGATCCTTTAAGCCATCACAAACTCGGACTGAATATCCGGGTTAACTTCAGGCTTCCAGACAGAGTCCTCAAAGTCGAGGCCCAAGCCTCCAGCCTCGCCAGGGCCACCTCCACCCCCACTGCTGCTGCTGTCACTGCGGCCAGCTTTGCGGGTAGGGGTCCAGTGGTAGGGACCCCGAGCGTCCCGCCGTGCCTTCCTTCTCAGGCGCTTCTGCTGCAGCAGGAGCTGGAGGCGTTCCACTTTGCAGCGTGTAGCGCGGTTCTCTGTCTGTCGCAGACGGTCTCCTACAGGAGGAGACAGGCACCTGTGAGTCTTGAGCCCCTAATCATGGTCAGCTAGGACCTTGAAAGGCACAAGAAGACCCCTGCCCCAGCCTCACTCCTCTACAGCTCCTGGAACATGCTGGGGGGGGGTGAGGTGGGCAGGCAGGCAGGGGTTTTGGCCAATGAGAAATGAGGAAGTAAGTTCAGTTTGGTAGCATATGCCTTTGATCCCTGCATTACAGAGGCAGAGGCATGGGCAGGAAGATCAAGACTAGCCTGTCTACATAGTTCAAGGACAGCCAGGGCTATATGTTGTGATCCTGTCTGAAAATACAAAACAAAAAACCCAAACAAACAAAACCTCACCCAAAAACAACAAAAATCACGAGTAAAGTTTGGCCAATGCAGGGTTGGACACACCCGTCATGGATTATTTAGGAAGCAGAGACTCAAACACTCCAAAATTCAAGACCAGCTTGGGCAACAAAGTGAAAACCCAAGTCTTGGGCTCCAATCCACCAGTGAGGGGTTGGTTGGGGTGTGGCTCAGAGGTAGAATAGAGCCTCTGCCTAAAATACCCCAGAGAGGGACTGACAGCCTTGCTAATGAAATACAAAAGAACTAAACCAAACAAAAATCAACAAGAACCTATCTCAAAACCATAAGTGGCCGATGCCTTTAATCCCAGCACCAGGGAGGCAGAGGCAGGAAGATCTCTGTGAGTTTGAGGCCAGCCTGGTCTTTGGAGAAACAACAGGCTCCAAAGCCACAGAGAAACCCTGTCTTGTAAAACGAAAAAAATTCCAACCAACCACAAGTGGTACAATGCTTTTGCCTGTTTCCCACTTCTGTGATCATGGTTGTGGAAGCAGGTGATCTAGGAAGGGCAGTGGTCACCATCCCCCTGCTTGAGTGGGGGCAGGCACATCTGGCTATGTCTAGAGGGCTAGAAGGGATTCAGTCTTTCATGATAGTCATTCATGAAAAGTGCCAAAGGCCATCTGGAGATGAGCCTGGGAGGGGGAAGAAGGAAGTGGTGCTAGAGTCCCCTGGAGCTCACTCACAAGGACACTCTATGCAGCTAGAAACAGTTGCCTCCTTCTCTCCCAGCTGGGGCAAGTAGGGGGAGAAGGGGTGGACAGCCAGCAGCTGCCAGCTCCAGGGGGTCCCCAGTCAGGTCAGCTGTCCCCTCACCCATAGCAACACAGAGGAGGCCTTGAGAAGCAGGGAGGCTGGGAGGTGACAGGGCCACTCACCAGGGGGTTTGCACATTCGGATCTGGCTCTGGCCCTGGAGCAGGGAGGTGGGGGTAGTGGCTGCCAGCTTTTCACAGGAGGTAGTTTTGGGGGTGAGGTCGGGGGCTGGTGAGGCAGGTGAGCACTGGGCATGGCAGCGGAGCTGGGTCAGCGAGGGTGGCATGCCCTGGTAATGCCGTGTGGCACTTAGGAGGTCATTGAGTATCTGAAGAATGGTGCCAATGTCCCGCCGCGGCCGCCCACTACTGTCTTGGCAGTTGGGGTGCAGTGTGCCTGCAAATGGAAAGGATCTCGAGTTCCAAGGTCGTCCAAGTTATTGTACTGTGGCAGTGAGAGAAGGCGGACAGGATAGTGGACAGACCAAGTATTCTGCAGTATCCAGGTCTGGTGGTGTATCATCCCAGGGACTCAGGAGGCTGAGGTCTTAAAACTCTTAAGCCAGCCTGGGGGAACTCAGGAAGACCTCATCACAAAATAAAACGTACAGTAGGCTTGGGGCATGATTCAGGGACACAGAGGGTATGGCTGGGCAGCAGCGACCAGGGTACTATCCCCAATGTCACAGTAATCCCACGTAACTACAGATGGCATGCCCTGTGTGTCTAGGGTACATGACACAAGTACATGCTCCAGGTTCCTGGAGAAGATAAGTAATGAACACACCCAGTAAATACATGAACCTCGAGATTACTCATGTGGCGTGACACCTACCAGAGAAGGTCCCTGAGAAGACCCCAGGAGCATGATTCACGAAGCTCTCAATGACGGCACCGGGTTTGCGGGAGCGAGGGGTGGGGTTGCTGCCTGGGGTTGAGGTGGCATTGCTGCTAGCTGGCGGGGAACAGTCCATCTGCTGCTGGATTAGCAAACAGGTACAGTTGTGATGATCCGTCTCTTAGCCCAGGTTACCACTACATCTAGGGCAGCGCCAGGGTCTACCCACCAGTCCAGCATTCCAGATGTAATGCATTGGGGCTCAGGGAAGACCATATGATATCAATGCTACAGCTTTCAAATTCCTCCCCTGGGTCCAAAGGTTAAATACTTTCATCCTTACCTCGGGACAGGTTGTGGAGGCTGCATGGGATCGGAAGGAGCCAGCGGTGACAGGTGAGGGGGACAAAGGTGAAGGGCTGCTGGATACTGGGGGGACTCGAGCGGCACTGGACACTGGCCTACAGGGTGAGGACACTGGGGCAGTTACACTGGAGTCTCCCCGGGTGGTGGCAGCAGCGGCTGCTGTAAGCACATGGCGGTGCTGGAGTGGGGTATGCTGGGCGGCCAGTTGCAACTGTACAAACATCATGTGATCCCCAACTCGAAGGGCCAGGGTCAAAGGTGAGCGGCCAGACAAAAAGTCACTGACCTAAAGAAAGAAGTAGGGAGATACTCTTCAGTTGATGGGGTTCTTATCCCAGGTGCCCCCAGCCCAACCCAGCCCAGCTCTCCCCGCAGTGTGACCTGGGGCCTCTCGCCGCCCCTCTCTGGGCTCTGGGGTCCCTGTCGGTGCCACGGACGCTTAAATAAAATCAATCTGTATTTCCGGAAGCCTCCTCCGGCAGCCCGGCCTGGCCCGGGTGTCGCTGGGGGCTGTGGGGGGGACAGAGGTGGGTCAGATTGGGGCCTCTGGCTCTGGGTTCTTTAAAGGGGAAACTGAGACCAGATGGGGCAGGGCCCAGCAGATGGTCCCTGCCCTCCCTCAAATAAGTTTCCCTTTCCCCTCAGACCCTAGATCCTGTCTGCTTATGCAGCAGAAGAGAATCCTTTCAAGCTCCCCTTCATAGCTGAGTAGCCCAAGTGGCAGGCTGAATCCTGAAGGAACTCCTCAAGGTTAACCTTTGCTTTCCCAAGACAAATATTTATGTCCTGGGCTGGGGCAGAGGAGGGAGGCTGGAGGCCTGTCCCCATGGGCCTCTATACGCCCTGGTAATCATGAACTCTATGACCTGCCGGCCCTCCCCTCCCCCAAACACTCTGTGGGGGCTGATTTGTGGGCCTATATGGCCCTCACATACACTGGGTACCCTGTCTCTCCCACCTCTGGGGCTCTGGCCATTGGCCTTGTTCTCCCCAGAGGCCAGGGTGTGTACAAGGGGGAGGTTTCTGAGAAGTGACATAGGCCTATGAGTCACACCAGACCGCCTCGCAGAACTCCCTCCCTCCCCTGGCTCTGTTGGCTGAGGGCTGGAGTAACCTTCTCTGCTTGGGGCCCCAAGGGGAGGGGATGTGGGTAGGCAGGAAAGCAGCACCCACCCCGGACTCCCTGTCTTCTTACAACCCTTTACAGATAAGGGCTTTAAGTGGTTTCCTGGGCAGCGGGCATCACCCCTTTCTCCCATGGGGAGGGCAAATGTGTGGCCAGGTGAGAAATCCACTCTGGTGACCTCAAAGCTCCACCCGCACCCATTTCTAACTCCCTCCTGGCAGGCACCCCCACCCAAGCCAGCACACAAGTTTGCTCAAAGGCAGCCCAGATAAGTCACCCTAGTCCTCACCTCTGGCCCCAAGAACTCCTTATTCTCCCAGTGTCCCTCCCAGAGGCAGGACTGACCACCCAGCTTTGGAGCCCTTGTTCTGCCTACACACGAAAACAGAATGCTACACTTCGGAACCTACAGAGTGAGGGCCTTAGATGTGCAGGTTCCTATATTGGGGAGGTCCAGGGGTCCTGTTCACTCCCACCCGGGCAGGCAGCCAGCTCCCCTGCTCCCGGGGACAAACTACAGAAGCTTATGTCACTCAAGAGAGGAGGGCCCTGTTGTGGCCAGAATGAGGAAAGGAAAAGGATTGGGGAGGGAGGGAAAAAGTCTCAACAAAACTGGGAACCCTCCTTACAGCCAGGCCCAGCCTCCCTCCTGGTTACTTACTAAATATTTTAACATCCTGCCTAGGCCTCCCTGGCCCAGGGCTGGGTGCCCCTGCCACCCCTCCCCCTATTTAGGCAGTGAACAAAGACCAGAACGAGGAGGAGGAGATAGGATAACTCCCCATGGCTTTGCAATGGCAGCGTTAAGTTTTGTCACCTCACTTCCCCAAGGGCACAATCCCCCAAATCAGTTTTTTTTTTTTGGGGGGGGGGGGGAGAGATGGGGGGGAGATAGACGATGATTTAGTACTCTACAGTGGGAGTGTGCTGGGCTGTGGAAGGCACAAGTTCCAGCGAGTGCAGGCCAAGGTCACCCAGTCAGAGCTGGCCGAAAGATCTGCCCTTCCCCCCACCCCATGGCAGCCACCGTGGGAGAGAAAACTTCTCAAGGTCAGGTGGTCAGGTGCCGGGGGAGGCACGGAGGAAGAGGAAGCAGGGTGACCAGGCCAAGCTGGCACCAAGGCGGGGCTTTCATACCCTCCCCCACAGGCCACCAGGGAAGCACAAACAACTGGAGGTTCTGTAAAGGTGTCCCAAGAGTTGTGCGATGCCTAGGCGTGGCCACCGCCTGCAGCCCCCTGGGTTAGCTTGAGGGTGGTAGGTGCTTACCTGGGTTTCGGTCAAACTTTCCAGAGCTTGCATAACGGACTGTTCTGGCCTCGAGGCCTGAGACTACAAAGAGAGGGATGAAAGAGTGTCTTCAGTGTAGGTTTAGAGCAGGAAATGGGGAGGGGGCCCTGTGTGTTAGGGGTGGGTGGGAGAGCTCTGTGCAAGGGGCAGGATGGTGCATTTGTGGAGTGAGGTGGCCAGGGGATAGGAGACTCTAGGGCACGCGCCCATCAGTCATTTACCATGAGACCAGCTTCCACCGTGGGCACGAGCGTCAACTTGCTCCCATCCCCCACGCCGAATTCCTGCAGCTTCCCCGAACTGAGCCGGCTGGGGGTAGGAAGGAAGAGGGTGAGACGGGAGACAACACAGAGACACGGAAGCGGAGGCTGAGGAGGAGGGCTGTGCGTGCGCAAGGAGGGGGTTAGACTGGAGCGCTTCCCACCCCTACCGTTCCTCAGATTCGAGTGCCTGGGGAAATCTCCCTGTCCTGAGGCCCCCCAACCAGGTGACTTAACTCCAGGTTAAAGCACTTCCCCATCTGCAAGGAAGAGACTTTCCGACCATCACCCGAACCCCCGTAGGCTCTTTGCCACCCTCCTCCGCGGCCCCCTCCAGGCCAGCCAGCTCCTGCCTACAACTCCCCAATCCTTGCCCAGGCTCGTTTTTGTGGGCGCCGCGGGGCTCCGGCCCTTTTAGATAGAGGCCTTCAGGGCATCGGCGGACCCGGGCTCCCCCTCCTCCCTCCTCGACAGAGGCCGCTGCTCAAACAAAGGAGACCCTCCTCCTCTCGCCCCTCCCCCACAGGGCCCCTCCGCTGGGGATGGACATTGCGTGTCCCCAGAGGCCCGCGAGGGGATGTGGGGAGGAGAGACTCCCTGGCCTGGAGGCGATTTAAATACCGGATTGGGGGGAGGTGTGGGGAAGCGAGAACAAAGGGGGGCAGAGAAACGTAAGTGATGGGGAGACAGCCAGACACAGAGGGGGCCGCTGAGCAGATGCGGAAGCGACGAGACCGCGGGCACAAGAGGGGGTGGCTGTGCGCCCCCCTACCAAACGCGCGGAGACTGAACCCCTCCCCATGCCATCCCTGGGGGCCCAAAAGTCTGCCATGCCACCCCCGTAATTCCCGTGTATCCTGGGGCCCCGCAGGGCGCTCCTGCCTTTGTGCAGACCCTGACGGGGGAGGGGGCCCAGCCAAGTAAGGCCGAGCAGAGGGCGCCCGAGAGCGCGCGGCGCGCCCCCGCCCCCCCTCGTCTGGCTGCCCCCTGCTTCCCAGCGCGGCGCGCTCTTTGTTTCCGCCCGGGGCCCAGGCCCGAGGGGGCGGCCCGGTGCCAGGGGCGCGAAGGCGGGGGCGGCGCGCTACCTACGTGTCTTTGTGAAGCAGAGCCAGGCGCTCCTTGGGTACTTTGAGGCGCTGGGACAGCCTTTTGCGCAGCCCTTCCACGGTCTCGTCGTGGGGCACCGACAGGTCGTAGCGTGTCCCCGTGGTGCTGTGGATCGCCAGGGTCATGGGTGCGGCCGACTCTGTAGTCGTACTCAGCTCGCAGGCGCCGCCGGGGGCCCCGCGCCGGCAGCTCCGGGCGCCGCCGGGCTGCGGCTCCATCCCCGGCGTGCGCAAGAGGCCTGAGGTCCGCGGGTCGCCTCCTATCCTCGCTGGGACTCGCCCGCTGAAACGAGGTCTTCCTTCTCTCTGCGGGCGCTCAGGGACAGCAGTGCGTGCGCCCCTTAGGGAAGGTCCCAATGTTAGCAATCGAGCCGGCAAGCAAGAATCCGAGTGGTGTTCCGGGGTCGCGTGGGTTCCTTGGGTTGCGCCCCAGGGTGGGGTCTGTGTTCCGATTTCTTCAAGGGCGGAGGATGGCGACCTGGGCTCGGCGCAGGGAGGGTCCTACAGAAAGGGAGCGAGCTATTCCGGTTCGCACGGTGCCTGGATTCCTCTCGGGTCGTGCTACCCCGCGCGTCCCTAGCGTTAGCAACAGCCGCAGCCTCTGCTCGCAAGATCTGGGGGTGAAAGTACCAAGAAAAAAAAGTTATCATGTATCAACGTTCCAATGGGCGGGACCACCGCCCCCTCCCATTCACTACTTACTCCGCCGGCCTGGCGGCGGCCAATCAACACACACAGACCGCCCAGTACGTTGCGCGCCCGGACCAATGGGAATCGCCGCGGGGCTACCCCACGTGGCAGCGAGACCCTCCCCCCGTCCTGCCCCGTCCCTTCTACTTCCAATGGAGACGCGTAGGGGGTTGGGCTGGTGCGGCTCCTGACCCGCCCCCGCGCCCCCCCCACCCGCGCTCAGAGCCATTCATAAGGCTCAGAGATCTCAACAAAGGGCGGGTGGGCTGGGAGGGTAGCAGACCCCGTTTCGAGGACTTAGCACCTTCTCTCCCACCACTACCCTCCTCGCGGGCACAGCCCCTCCCCTCTTCAAGGGGAGCGGTCTGAGGAAGAAGAGGCGAAGGCCGGCCATTGTTCCCGACTAAGGGAGGAACAGGAAATCGTGGGGCCTCCCCGCTGGGTCTGTCCGGGAAGCTACTGCCTGCGGAAGCTGCAGCTTGAGCCCTGGGCCTCGTGGCCAAGGGTCGCGGGCAGGGCTCTGAAGGACATCCTTCGCCCCCGTGAGTGGGTGGGTGGATGCAACGATATTGGAGAGCCTGGGAGGGGCCCACAGCCTGGGCGGGGCCCTGCAGCTCGGTGACGTGGCTTCGATAGATACGTCCCTACCGGACCAGTGCCACTTCGCGTCCCAACCTAACCCACCATCCTCTTTTTTTTCTGCGCCCCCCCCAATCTCGGGTCGGCCCGTTTCCCGAGGTGCGCCCGCCCAAGCCGTGACGTGACGCGGCGTCCCGGGCTGCGCCCGCGCGCCCCCAGCTCCGGGCAGCGGTGAGTCAGCAGCCCCGGCGCGCCCTCTGCAGTTCCCACCCGGGAGCGCTGCCCGAGTCCCGGGGGAGTAGGTGCCGTGCGTCTTGATTGGGAAATGGGGAGCAGAGACTTAGGAGTCAGCAGGTGGGGAGGCGCCTTTGAGAATCTTTAGATGCGGAGAAGACTAAGACCACACATTCTGGGAAACTGAGTCTAGATCTACAACTAGTTCAAGGTCACTGGCTATAAAGGGGGAGGGCGTGGGCTGCGGTCCCGCCAGGGTGGTGCCCATTGCGTGCGGTCCCTCCCACCCCACAAGCTGAGGGACTCCCTGTCCCATGGTGCGCTAGGTGCCGACGACTCAAAGAACAAAGAGTGACAGCATGAGGCGTCCACGGTGGGTGGAGACCCCCCTCTGTGCCTCGTGCGGCCCCGCCTCTACTCACCCGGAGCCGCAGGTCCTGGGTCACCTCTGCTCCAGATGACCTGCATACAGATTGCAGTGAGAGGTGGCCTTGCCGGTCTGTGGACAGGCAGACGGCCCCTGAGTTTTTATCCGTGCCGCCTTCCCTGGGGTGGAGTTTGGGCGGGCAAGGGGCGGGCAGGCGCTAGTGACGCATATGCCCCCCCTTGCTTGCTGGCCTGGGGCTGGGACACTCAGCCCTAGGACTTCCCAGCACTGACAGAGCAGTACCTCACCGGTGCCACTGGCTGTACTAACCCCTGCCTCCCCAGGTACTCCTGTACACCTTACATTATCATTGGGGGTCTGGCCAGCTTCCCTGCCCCACCCACCTTTCCTGCTGTCCTGGTGCTTCCGCCTGGGGGCGCCCGTGTGGGGAAAGGGGGGGCGGGACGGGAAGGGGTTCCTGAGTCAGCAGCCTGGGTTCAGGAAAACAGGGCAGTGTCACCGCCAGGCAATGGGGTGCCCGGGACAGCTGCCTGATGGCTTGGCCTCCGCATCCTTCACAGGTGACCTCAGAGGCCATTTCTGTGACGACTCAACCACCCCTGGCCTGCTTTGGCCAGTCACTGGTGTGACCTCCATGAGTAGCCTAGTACTTAATCACCGCACCCTGTGCATGGTGCATGTGGAGGTCAGGGGTTAACCTGTGGGAGTTGGTTCTCTTCTTCCTCCTGCATATGGGTCCCAGGAAATCAGCTCAGGTCATTGGCCTTGGCAACACGTGCCAAGGCAGTCGACAACCTAAGGAGAGCCTTCTGCAGGGGTGCTCTGCACCCCGAGGTGTGATGCCTTCTCATCACCCCATGGATTGGACCCATTAGCACATACTGTTGTCGTGTGTGTGTGCGCGCGCGTGTGTATTTGATCACCCACCCCGTGAATCTGACTTTGATTGGGGTTGGATCCTCCAGGGCACTCTAGACCCTCCTGTCCACTTGTCATTAGTTTGCCTTTTATCTGGCCTGAGTACTTCCACCACCCTAACCCTGGGAGCACCTCCCAGGCTAGTTCCTTCCTAGGTCTCCTTCCTGCTCTGGCTGAGCACTATCAACAGGCATGTTGGGCCCCCAGGGTCACTCACAGGCCAGAGATCACTTGGAAGCCCAGGGAATTTGAGGGCTGAACAGGAATTGGTTTGGGAAGTAGGGACACATTTACTATCCAGAGTTGTAGGGTATGGAAGCCAGAGGTAAGATTGGCCTCAGAGATCACAGAGAAGACTGTGGTCTGGGCTGCTGACAGGTGAGGTGGGCTGGCTCTGACAGGACATTTAGACTGGAAGCTAGTGTGATAAATGATGGACACCCAGACTTGCTGCTTCCTAGATCTTAATCCTATGTGATCCCTCACTACTGGGTGTGAAGATCCAAGACTCAGTGCTCTGTCCAGGCCCTGCCCTCCACAAAGGTCCCACCCACCCACTGGCTGTCCTGTCCTGAGACCTGGCTCCAGAGCTTGTGGCTCTCTTAGGAGTGGGGAGGCTCTGAGTGTCTTAGCCCAGGTCAGGCTGTCCCTAGAGTTCCTGTACGCAAGCCTTAGCTGGCATGTGGGTCACTGTCAAGATGGTTCAGGTGACCTATCGATGACAGGCTCTGACCCTGCTCACCCTCCTTGTACCCCCATATGGTCACTTCCTCAGGCCCTGAAGCATCAAGTCAGGTAGAACTTAGCCACCCTGGGACAGGGGGTGTAGAGAGGGATGTGGCGGTCCCAGGGCTGCTCCTCCCAGGCCACCACACCCTACCTGGGGCCAGCTAGGGGCCTAAATGCCTAAGGAGGTGCCAACCGCACCAGGGACTGGGAAGGTAGCCAGCTAGGCTAGGGCCACCCACAAATGGGGTGTGCCTAGGGCGGGGCCTCTGAGAGCAGGTGGTGCCTGCCTCTTCCCAGAGTATGTGGGGTGGGGCAGGGGGCCCCAAAGGGAGGGCCTGACCTGGCTGGTGGTCAGGGTGCTGAGCTGGGCCAGCAGCTGTAGCCACACCCACCACCGCCTGCCCTGCCCTCAACCCTTGCCCATCCCACCCACCCTGGCGACAGTACCTCAACAGCCTAGCCAACATGTACCCCACCCCATTGTTGCTTGAGTGCCTCTGGGGGCTGGGATAGATACAGAAGCCTCAGGCAGGGGTGGGGGTCTTGGCTTTGTGCAATGCAGAGTTAGAAACCAGAACACTCAGTTGGTTCCTTGTTTAATGGAGGCAGGCCAGGGCAAGCTGACTGTCCAGGTGGCTCTGGGGGTGGGGCTGGGGTAAAGGAGAGCAGTGGCAGCTCTCCAGGGGCGGCATGGGGATCCCAGGATGTGAGAAGGCTGGGAAAAGACCTCCAGGGCAGACAAGGCACCAGGAAGCTTTTTAAGCCATCTTTTGGAGCACCGCTGCCCCCTGGTGGTAACTTTAGCAACAACCGACTAGAATCCAGAGAACAGTTTTCATCTGCCTGGACCTGCCTCAGTTTCCCTGTGGGTGACAGACATGCACCGTCTACTCCAGGGCCTTCACCAGAGCCTCATTGGCCTCAATACGGATCTGGATCTCAGCCCGTGCTGCCTCATCTGCTGCGCTGGACAATTCTGACTGTGCCTTCTCCAGGTTGGCCCGGGCTGCCTGCAGAGGAATGGGCCATGGTGAGGACCAGGCAGGCCAAGGGGACTCTTGGGTAGCACTTGCCCCCGCCCTGAGCCTCAGTTTCCCCATCTGCTCACCCCCAGGTCCAGCATGTCCAGTGTCACAGCTTCTTCGGCCAGTAACTGCACTGATGAGTCTGCATTCACAGTGACAGACCCACTGCTCACTGTTGAGGAAGACAAGGCCTGAGCAGAGCCCCCAGGACATCTCCAGCCTCCACCTCCCGATTGTGCTACGGTCTCAAGTCCAAGGTGACCCCACAAGACTGGTGCTCAGGTCCGGCATGTGGGTGGCTGCCAAAGGCCTGCTGGACCTGAGCATAGCATATTATCATCCCAGCCCCTGAGGAGACAACAAACTAGGTATAAAAGAGAAGCTGGGCTGAGAGGCTCAGTGGGTAGTGTACTTGCCTAGCATATACAAGGCTCACCCACAGCACAGCACAAACTGGGTGTGCTGGCACAAACCTGTCATCCTCAGCAATCAGGAGGTGGAGGAGGAAGATCAGGGACTCAAAGTCAGCCTGGGCTATAGGAGACCCTCCCCTGAAAAACAAAACAAAAAAAGGAAGGAAACTGAAGGAGCCACAGAGCCAGCTTAGGAGGTAAGAGCACCTGATGTGCATACAGAAGAGCCTGACCTCAGGAGAAAGCTAGGTATGGCCAAAGGTGCCTATAAGCCTAACACTGGGAAAGACAGGACAGTAGTTGAGGCCAGCCATCCTGGCCAGAAGGCAAGCTCCAGGTTCAGCCCCCCCGGAAGGAATTAAGACACAAAGTTTACAAAGGAGACCACCACCAATATCCTCTGCGTGTGCGCATATACTCATCCCCTTCCCATCCTCACCCCCATGCCCACCCTGGACTCGCCCATACACAACCATGTAGAGTAAAAACAGGAGTGGAGCCGGGCAGTGGGCGCACACCTTTAATCCCAGCACTCGGGAGGCAGATGCAGGCAGATCTCTGTGAGTTAGAGGTCAGCCTGGTCTACAAGAGCAAGTTCCAGGACAGCCTCCAAAAACCACAGAGAAACCCTGTCTCAAAAAACCAAAAAGGGGAAAAAAAAAAAAAAAAAAAAAAAAAAAGAGGACTGATGGTGTGGTCAGGGGTGGAGCCTCACCTAGAACCCCCAGTGAGGGGCTGGGGGTGTGCTCAGGGGTGGAGCCTCACCTAGAACCCCCAGTGAGGGGCTGGGGGTGTGCTCAGGGGTGGAGCCCTTGGCCAGAATCCCCCTCTGCCTAGAATGCTTCTCAAGGCCCCCTCATCTGGCAGAGGTGACATGGGAGGGAGTCACCCTGGGAACAGGTTCTTCAGACTGGCTCCCTTCTACACTGAAGCTGGTCGACCCTGAAGGGTAGCTCAACAGTCATTTGTACTTGTCCTCCTTTGTCTGCTGAGGTGAGGTCAGCTGTTCATGTCTCTGTCTGGGTGAGCTGAGAAAGCTTGTTTCCTTTGCTTTCTCCATGCCCTGTGGGGATCTGAGCCTCTATTCACCCTGGGCCACACTCACCAAAGTACTTAGTTGTGGTGCCATCCTCAGCATGGACCACTACCAGGCCAGGCCGTAGGACCTGCAGAGTGGGAACGTGAGATGCCAGGATGCCAAAGGCTCCGGTCAGCGTAGGCACATCTACCTGCCGGACATTGGCACCATCAAAGAACACCTGAAACAGAGTGTAGGGTAAGCATTACCTTGTGCCATGGAGACACCACAGTGAAGGTGAAATGCAGAGCGGACACAGATGCTGCCTAGTGCCGCCATCAGACTCAGCTTGCTTACTTGTGAAATGGGATGTGTCTAAGGAATGTCTAAAAGAGGTGACCAAAAAGGAGAATACAGGACAGGATGCCAATCTGGCCTGTGCGACTGGCTTCTTGGAGATGGGGTTTCTGGAGACCCTAAGGCTGTCTTCCCGTCTACTCAGGAAAGTACAAGGCCAACCTAGGCAGCCCAGTGAATCTGGCTTATGAATAGGCCAACTGCATATTAGCAAAACCCTGGTGAGGGTCTGCACAGTGGAAGGTTTTGGGTTCAAGTGAACCCTTTGGGACAAGGCATTTGGGTCAGTCTGAGACGACCCCAGCAGGGATCGGGCTTCTGTTCCCAGTCGAGGTGACCCTTCAGTGGCAGGATCTGAATCTAGGCAATCTCTAAGGGCTTCAGGTCTGGGTACTGGTGACTCCCACTTGGGCAACATCTAGGGTCCCAAAGGGGATGGATCCATGGTCCATATGAATCCTAGGGTTCATATGAAACCCAGGGACAAGGCCTAGAATACAGTGACCCACAAGGATGGGGCTTGGGTTACCTCCACCAAGGTGTGGGGCCCGTGGTTCAGGTGACATGCCCTCAGGGGACAAAATCCGAGGTTCAGGGATAGGTGACCCCTTCCTAAGGGTTGGAGTTTTAGGTCCAGATGCCACGCCCTTAGGGGTGGGGCAGAAAGTTTTAGTGAACGCAGAGAGATCAGGTTCGGATGTCCAGGAGACCCCGTCAAGGGGCGGAATCTGGGGAGAGGGTCCATATGGCCCTCGTGGAGGAGAAACTTGAGGCCCAATAGAGGTGACCATCCCACATGGATCAAGTCAGGGGTTTGGAGCCCCCAGGTGGGGGCTGCAAGTTCGCACCTGCGTCGGGGAGGCGAAGGTGAAGGACATCTGTCCGGGTCCGGCGGCGGGGGCAGGTGCGGCGGCGGCCTCGGCGTAGGCACGTGCCTGGAGCACCAGGCGGCGCAGGGCCGGGCGGCGAAGCAGTGCGGAGGGCAGCATGGCGGGCAGCAGAGCGACAGCGGACACACTGGGATAGCGAGGCGGCCTTGAGGGAGGGCGAGGAGGACAACGCGCGGAGCCTTCTGGGAGGCGCAGTTTCCACAAATACGCACGCGCGTAATACGACTGCCGGTAGGCTGCGCTCGAGGCTGAACGCGCTGGGCATTCCGGGAGGTATAGTTTGTCTTAATACCACCCCCCTGCAATGCTGCCTAGGACTAGGGGGAGCCTAGATGGTGTGGGTCATTCTGGGAATTGTAGTTTTCTTCGCCTTCAAATTGCAAATGACGCCCGGGGTTAGGCTGTTCTGCAACCGGACACCTCCCCTCTGAAGGGATGCCCGCTTGATGACAGGTGCCGATTGAAGTAAAAAAGAAGCAAACCTGTAAATGTATTGGGAGAGAATTAAATTTTAGCCTTCCAGCCAGGTGTGGTGACACACTCCTCCAACCCCAGCCCTCGGGAGTCTGACAGGAGGGCCACCGAGTTCCACGACACAGTAAGAACCTATTTCCAAAGAGTGCACTACATTTCTAAGAATCAAATATAAGCCAGGTGTAGTTAATCACAACTCTCCGGAGGCTGAGGGAAACAGGGTTCCATGAGTTCAAGATCATCCAGGTCTACATAATGGGAACCTGTCTACAAATAAATACATGAGTAAATGGATAGTTACGTAAGTAAATAAAAATTTATGATGCGGGCTTCGGTGCGTTCCTAGTGAGGGGAAGCAGTTAAGCCCACCGAGTGGTATGCACACCGAAGCCGGCAGAGGGCGCGCGAAACCAGGAGATGTACTCGCTCTTATCCGCAGTCCCCCTCCCTGCGGGTCTTCGCCCCCGCGCCCCGCTGACGCAGTAACGTGTACGTGGGCGGCTAGGGGGCTGCTCCACTGACGTCCGCTTTGTCTGCGCAGCCTCGCTCTCGGCCATGACGTCACCACCCCGCCCCCACACTTACGCAGGTTCCAGCCCCTGCTGAGCTCTTGGTCCTCGTACCCCCCCCAAAGGATCACAGAAAATGCCGGTTTAGAGTTGGTGGGTGCACAGTAGGAAAACTACTGGATCTTAGGGAAGCAAATGGCAGCTAGAGGGCCGTAGTCCTCTTGAATCAGGGTCTAGCAGATGTTAAATGTGAATCCTTTTGTGATTGTCCAAACTGTAGACTCTGGGCCTCAGATCTGCGCAATAGGTAGCAGTCATGGCCTTACTCAAGCTTCATGAGAGACATCGGGTCCCCAATCCCTATAACCTGGACAGTGGGCAGCTAGAAACCCCACTTCTTTCCCCAGATGCTTCCTGCACGTATGTCTAACTCTTACACATCACATCCCAGGACACCGTATCTACCCAATGCTCCACGAAGCAAGGGCCCAAACCTAGAAAAAGCATGTCCTGTCCTGTTCACCATACATGGCCATTATGCGTCACCAGAAGAGTCTTTTTGAAAAACTAAACTCAGGGTGCTAGAGTGAGGCTCGGCAGTTAATAACAAGTACTGCTTGCTCTTCCAGAGGACTTGCGTTCCATTCCTAATGCAAATGTGACACAGCTATCAGCGGCTCACAACTGCAGCTTCAAGATTATCTGATATCCTTTTCTGGTGTGTGCACACACACACACGCATAACACACACGAATTTTAGTATTACAGAAATTCAGGAGTGGTGATACACCTGGTCTATCTACATAACTTGCAGGCAAACCTGGGGTAATGAGTGAATCTCTGTGTCAATCCCTTCACTGAAAACAAAGAAGGCTGGTGTCCCAAAGATCGGTAGAAGGGGCCCACCTACAAGACAAGATTCTCCTTTGGCTGTGAAGGTTAACAGGGAATAAGCAGATGGGGTCTGGGAGCATGGGCTCTTAGAATGGGACAGATCCTGGGTTGGAATCCGAGCACCAACAGGAAGAAAAGATAATTGATTGCAAGGGAAAGATGGTCTGGGATGGTTCATTCCATAACAGACTTCTATGAATGCAAGATAAAAATTTTATTACACATTTAGTTAGTGGGCAAAGGGACAGCAAATCTTTGAACATCAAACGACAACTTGTGGGAATAGGCATTCTTACCATGTGGGACTCAGGGATGTAATGCAGGAAATTGGGCTTGGCTGCAGGCACCCTTGCCTGGCAAGCCATCGCAAGGGCTCTCATGCATCTCAAGCTGGCCTAGAATTCTGTGTAGCTGAGATTGGCCTTGCACTCTTGATTCACTTGACTTCATCTCTCAAATGCAGGTGTGTACCGCCACAACCAGTTTTAGGTGCAAATTCTGAGTAGGTGTGGGGCAGCATTGGGTATCTGGGAAGTAGTGCGAACTCTTAAGCGAACCCGCAGAAGAGCAGAATAGGGGAAACAGGCATGTGGGAGAAAATGTACCTAGACCTCATGGCTTGTAGATCACGGGGATCCACAGACTGGAACTGAGCACCAGAATGGCAGATGAGAAACTAGATAGCCTAGGATCCCCAAGACTCGAGATACCCAGTGTTAGGCGAGGGGCATGCTGCGCCCCCACACTGGTTCCGGGACACTGCAGCACCAGGTAAGCAGAGTCGTGCAGCGGTGCGAGAGGCGGGGCAGTGAGGCCGCGGGAGGGGGCGCCAGGAGCTCAGGCTCCGCCCCCGCCGGAAGGGAAGGGGAGGCGGTGGCCAGCTCGCAGCGAGCCAGACGCAACGGTGAGAGCGGCGGGGGCGGCCAGGCTGCGGGACCGGGCGGCTACCGGGTGCACCGAGCCAGGGGCCGGAGCGGGCGCACCGCCAACGCAGTCACGTGCGCGGCCCCTCCTCTCTCGCACACCTCCGCGCGCCTCGCTTTCCATTCATAAATTCTCCGGCTCCGCGGCCACCGAGCTTCAGAGCCAACCGGGAGTGCCGTGCATCTGCCGCCCGCCCTCCCGCCGCCCATGGGCCGCACGCCCCGGCGCTGAGGTAGGCGCGGCGGGCCCTGGCGCACTGGACCGGGCGGGGAAGGGCGGGCGGATGCGCGCGGCTAGGGGATGGTGGCCAATACCTGGGCCTGCCCTTGCCCACCAATCCTTCTGCGTAGCTTCGGGGAGGGAGCGGAGCATGGGAACGGCCTGAGTCGCCCTGTACCCCGCCTACCGTCCGCAGCCCGGAGAGGGATCCCTCCCATTCCTACCCTCGTCCTCAGTTTACCCTACTGACAGGGCGAGGGCAATGTCGCCTAGGTCTCCTGGGTCCGCGTGAACCTGGCATCAGGTTTTCTGCTCTTTCTCGCACCCTATCCTACTGGGGGAGGTTCTGTGGGGACCCCTTGTCTAGACTGGCGTCATCGCTGGCCATCATGACCCCACATTTCTCGTTTTGGGTCTCCAGCCATCTTCCCGTCACTCCCATCATCATCCTCGCCATGCCCTCCCCCACCTGAACTCATTCCCGGACCTACATTTACGCCCCTTGTCAAAATGATGCCCGCCATCCTCAGCCCAGGAGCGCTAAAGATACGTAACCATCCTGGGGGCACGTTCGTTTTATCTGGGCATCAGTCTACCCCCCAAATACCCCCCCTCCAGTCCGAAAGCACTGGCGACGCTGGAGTCTGCGGGATATCTTCTGTGGGGATAGGTGTTGACATGCTCACGCTCGCTGTGGGAACTAGGGATGACTGGCCAGAGCAGTCCCTGACACCCCAGAATCATCTTCATCCCCCGAGTGAGTCAGGTGCAATTTCGAGCAGCCGCTTCCTGAACGTAGCTCCCCACTCCGAAACATGGCCTAGCCTCAGTTTCCCCATGCTCCAGGTGGAGGCCTGGTGGAGCAGCCATCTTGGCAATAGCTTAGGGCGCCCCTGCGGGAGGCCTCCCCCGCACCCCCGCCCGCCTCCCACTGCCTGGCAACCCGCCCCCCGGCGCGGCCCTGCGCACCGTCGCCATGGGAACCAGATTTTTCAGGCCAGGAACAGATGAGCGTCTTTTGTCCTTTCCACTCCCACCATTGTGGGGCACGGGGACCTTTCCCTCTGCAGTCGTGACTTGGGTGTGCGTGGGGGGGAGGGTCCACTGGTGTAGCCCCTCCCGCACCTCACGTGTGCTGCCTTCAATTCTTTTTCTGGCCTGTGAGACCCTGAGACATGAAGGACACCTGGGCTCTCTACTGAGTGTGTGTGGGGGCTTCATGTCCTTTTCCTCCAAGGGTGCTTTCCCTTGCCTGGATATAGAGCGCTACCTTGCTGGGCCGGCCGTACCGGCCAGCCAGGAAAATAGTGGGAGAGCCACTTGCACGCAGACATATATACATACACACAAACACGAGCGAGAGCGCGCGCGCGCTAGCGCCCACACACACACACACACACACACACACACTTATGCGCACGCGCGATGCCCCTTTCTATGTGATAAAGATGGCGAAAAAGAGGACCTGGGGAAAAAGCCCTGGCTCCAGACGCTCTCGGGGGCGGGGGCTGAGGGTGGGGGTGCCTCAGCAAGACTCAGCCCCACCTGTCCATGAGTCACCCCAGTGACGGCAGCTGCTGCTGTTGCACGGGGATGATGGGGGCTGACTTGCAGGGGCTCCTGTGGGGAGGGGCTGGCAGAGCTGAACCTGAGCTGGCTCTATGCCCTACCTGTAGCCTCAAAATGCAGCCCACGGCCACCATGGCCACAGAGGCCACCACCGCCGCCACTGTTGCCCTGACGACTTCGTGGGACAATACCACTATCCGCCCCACGGTGGGTGGGTGACTCCTGGAGGCCGGGGGTGGGGTGGCATGACCGTGCAATGGAGCCCTGACATACTTTGCCCTGTTCACTCGACCACCACCCCCCCAGGCGGAGCCCGACCCCATCTTGGACAACTATGTGCTGCTGGTGGTGGTGATGTCACTGTTCATCGGGGGCACACTGGTGGTTCTGTCTGGTGTTCTTCTGCTCTGCAAACGCTGCTGGGAGGTGCACCAGCGCTTCAACAGGTGCATGCCATGGAAACCTCTTGGTGACACGCCCAGGTGTGCCTGCAGAGCCTCACAAATGGGGATCCCCATTCCTGCTCACCCCTTGCCTTTCTTCCTCAGGGCCATGGATGAAGCAGAGAAGACCACCACCACCTACCTGGACAATGGCACCCACCCTATACAAGGTGAGGGGCCCGCGTGGCCCGCAGCACCCTTCACTGCACTTGACTGTGCCTCCCGCCGTGCCCCGCCCCTTGGCCCCCTTGCCCGCCCCCTCGGGCCGCCTGACGGTCTGTCTGTCTGTCTCCCCCACCAGACTGGGCGCAGTTCGAGTCCGACTCATCTCTGTTTCCTTAACGCCCAGGCGTAGGTGCGCACAGGCGCGTGCTGAGAGCGAGTGAGTGTGTGAGCGGATGAGCGAGTGCCCGCCGCCCCGCCCAGCCCGCCCTGTCCTGCCCTCACTCGGCCCGCGCCCCCCTCCCGGCCCACCCCTGCCCAGCGGCCTGGCTGGCAGCAAGACACGCGCGGCCCACCCGGGGCCCACCCTCTCTTGGCTCTCCTCACAGACCCCGACTGCAGGGGGGAAGACCCCGAGAGCCAGGACACGGAGACAGAGCGCTTCCTAGCCACCAGCTCCACCGGCCGCCGCGTGTCCTTCAATGAGGCTGCCCTGTTTGAACAGAGCCGCAAGGCTCAGGACAAGGGCCGCCGGTGAGGGAAGCCAGGGGGAGGTCACAGCCGCTTGGTGCTGAAAGCTGGGGACCCTGGCTCAGGTCTCTTGGTATGGGCTGGCAGGGTGGATAGTAGAGTAAGTATCCATATTAAGGTACAAGCTTTGGGGCTAATGTGTTGAATACCAGCACACTGCAGACTGAGGCAGAAGGATTACCAAAGTTATTTTTAAATGTTTGTTTATATGTTTCTGTGTGTGTTTATGTACACGTGGGTGCAAGTGCCCACAGGCCAGAAGAGGGCGACATATCTCCCTGGAGCAGAATTACAGGTGGTTCTGAATGCCCACTATGGGCCCTGGAAACCCAGCTCAGGTCCTCTGCAAGAGTAGTGAGTGCGCTTAATGCCTGAGCCATCTCTCCAGCCCTGATCGCTACAAATCTGAGGCCTGACTGGCCCTCATAGGAAGTACAAGGCCCACCATGGGTGCATTTCAAGATCTGCCTGTAAAAGAAATGCCAGGTATGGTGGTGCAGGCTGTAATACCATCATGTGGCTGGCAGAGGCAGGAAGATATGAGTGGAAGACCAGCCTGCTCTACATAGACACTGTCTCAAAAAGTAAACAAGTAGGTGTTGTTCCAGCACTTGATAGCTAAATGGAGGCAAAAGTCTCAGAAGTTCAAAGTCATCCTTGGACAGGGAATGATGGTAAATAGATGCTATGCTAGGGAATGCTGAGAGCTGACTGTCAGGGTTCCCTCAACATAGGTACACCCTGACGGAGGGGGACTTCCATCACCTGAAGAATGCCCGCCTCACCCACCTCCACCTACCGCCCCTCAAGATTGCTACTATCCATGAGTGTGATCCAGGTGAGGCCAGCTCAGTGGCCACACCCCACCCAGCTACCACCCCCAAAGACAGCTTGGCTATTTTCCAGGTAAGGTCAATGTTGTGGCCATTCCTGTTCCTTGGCTGAGTGGTGGTGGGTCCAAAGGGTCCAAGTAGGTACCAAGTTGGGTCCTGGCTGGCTGGGATAGGGAGGTGGGACCTCCCCCTCACGTACTTGTCCTCCCCCAACCCCTCTGTCTCACAGCCCCCTGGGAAGGCCCTCACTGGCCAATCAGTGGGTCCCAGCTCTGCCCTGCCAGGCGACCCCTACAACTCTGTGGACTTCTCGGAGATCCGCCCCTCCTCCTCCACCGACTCTGGGGAGGGCACCTCGGTGAGGGCTCCCTCTGGTTTCCCCATAGCATCCCAAGATGGAGATTCTTTCAGAACCAGAACACGGTTCCTAGGATTCCCTGTAAGAGCCAGGCTGGTGGCAAGGGTGCTCAGCTCCATACCAGCCCAGGGAGGAGAGCTGCTAGACAGGGTGCTTCCCCTAGGACAGACAGGATCCAGGAGGGCAGACCTGACCTTAGAGAGGAGGCTGTTAGGAGGGGGACCCAGGTGTTAGGCCAGGCCCAGGGAGGGTACTCCATGCCTGACAATCACCCCTGCCCCCTGCACACTCCCCAGTTAGATGCAGGTGTCCGGGGGGCCAAGGCTGCTGGGCCTGGGCCTGAGACAGCACCTGGGGAGATGGGCACAGGCTCTTCAGGGCCAGGCACTGTGCTGCAATTCTTCACACGGCTACGCCGCCATGCCAGCCTGGATGGGGCCAGTCCCTACTTCAAGGTCAAGAAATGGAAACTGGAACCCAGTCAGAGAGCATCCAGTCTGGATACAAGAGGTAAGGCACTCCACAGAGCGACCATGACTGCCAGGAATTCCCAGGGCCTGCACATCTCTAGGAAGGCTGTCATTGTCAATGTGCTGTGTCTCCTAGGCAAATGACTGTCCTATAGCTGGTGATTCAAGGCAGGGTGTCAGCCCTAGGATGCTCAAGGCTTGTGTGCACACCTTTAACTGTCAGCATGCCAGAGGTCCCCAGCTTCCCTGGACCTCCCCACCAAGTCCTTTTACCTGTATATGCTTTGGCTTACTAGAACCAGTCATCACAGGATAGAGCACTTCTCTAGTGTGTGTGAGGCCCTGGGTTCCATCTCCAGTGCCTCATGAACACAGGGTGCTGCTGCATGTCTCAGCACTCAGAAGGGCAGAGGCAGGAAGTTAGGGATTCAAAGCCAGCCTCAGCTTGGCTACATGGCTGCTGGGAGCTTGTCTCAAAAAGAAAAAAGAAAGAAAAGAAATGGGGGCATTGGAATAATTCTAGGTTCTATAAATGCCTATTTGAGTTACCTCACTATGTGTCCCAGGCAGGTCTTGAATTCCCGGCAACCCTCCTGAGTTCCGGGGGATTACAGGCACACACCATATGCAGCTGAGCTCCGGGCACTTTTGATAAGGTCCTGGAAAGTAACAATTTGGGCTTTTGTGGCCACACTGTCTGTCCCATCTCAACTTCTGCTGTAGGAAGTGACCTTCATATGCAAATGAGCACAGATTGTGCAAGTAAAGCTATTCACAAAAAAACAAAAACCAAAACCCCCAAACTGGTAAAATGGTGGCAGCCTTCTGGCCCCAGGGTACAGGTTGCTCACTGTAGGGAGGGCACCCTGGCCTTGCTTGGGTGGCAGAGGCTCCCAGGCACTGACTTCCCTGTGGGGAGGTGGGTGGGAGGGTCTGGATGGCAGAGGGCTCACCACCCTCCCTCTCTGGGGTGCTGCTGTGGGAGGAGGACCTAGGTTCTGAGATGGAGTCATGATTCCTAGTGCTGATTAACCACAGGCTGTTGTGTCAGCTCAGAACCTGTTTGCTTGGTGGCTCCCACCCCACCTGGAAGCCTGCCCACTGCCAGTTCTGTTTGGGGAAGATCCTGGCTACTAGCCAGGAGCTGGGGTAGGGGCGGAGCAGTTCCCCCAAGCTTCCCAGGCCAAGGTGCAGCCTGTAGGTGACACCTTCCCTCCTCCTATGCAGGCCCCTAATAATCCCAGCTCCCCAGTGCCTCCTGCTTCAGCAAGAGCTGGACAATGCTAGCCATTGGGTGTCCTTTCTCATGGCTGCACCTGTCCAGCCAGGGCTGTTCTGTCTGGACTGCTTTCCCCTGAGGCCTTCCAGATCATGCCTAATTTCTGGTCTTGGCACATAATGGCCTCTGCTCACTTTCTTCGGCTGACTGACATCCACCTCCCTCAACAGGTTCCCCTAAGCGGCACCACTTTCAGCGGCAGCGTGCAGCCAGTGAGAGCATGGAGCAAGAGGGGGACACCCCCCATGCCGACTTCATTCAGTACATTGCCAGCGCAGGCGATTCGGTGGCCATCCCACCCCCCCGCCCCTTTCTGGCCAGCCCCACCAGCCCGCCCCCCACTCTCGGCAGGTATTTTTCAGGAGATAGAGGTGCTAAGGGTGGGCCTGTGGGCCCCTGCCCTGCCCCGTCCCCCCTAGGTGGCCCGGGGACTGCCCTCCTGGCCCTGTGGACACGAACTCGAGTCACCCTGGCCACTTCATGGGGGCCACCTCTCCAGCGCAGACCGGAGGAGGAGGGAAACAGGGAGAGACTGGGTAAGGGTAGGTGGGCAGATGATGGCTCCAAGGTCTCCAAGATGGGACCCCCACCGGAGCAAGGTGGTGCGTTTGGGCCTACCCTGGGCCTGCCAATTTGTGGCAGACTCCGAGGCCTGAAAGGCTCCTCAGTGGTCCCAGCGAGCCTTCTACCTGCCTGTACTCCTGATGTATGGCCTGACCGCTCACAGAAGCCTTGGTGATTGTTTCTATCAGAAGCAACCTCCCCGAACCCCTGTCCATGCAACCCAAAAGCAAAACTCCTAAATGCTAAAACCAGTAGGATACAGGCTGAGACCCTGCAAACTTGGGGGTGACCCTTGGCTTCTGTGACTCACACCTGGCCCTATCAACACATGACCATTAGGTGAAGTAACCATCTAGAACAAGAGGCCCGATTTGGAGCCTAGTTCAAATCCATTCCCTGAAGTCCCCTCGAATATCAAGAGAATGTATGTAGGAGTGGCCCAGGCTCCATGGGGAGGTGGGGTCCCCTCCATATCCATAGTCCCTAATGCACAAACGTGTGGCCGGCAGGGCAGGGCAAGGCCTGCAGGCCCTGACCACGTGGGCCTGGCCTTGCAGGCTAGAGGCAGCCGAGGACGCGGGAGGAGCAAGCCCCGAGACTCCTCCGGAGCACAGCATCAGTTTGGGGCCAGAGCATGCGCAGCAACAGGACCCGCGGCAAGAGCAGGACGTCGAGCATGCACAGTGCAGCTACCGTGACCTGTGGAGCCTTCGTGCTTCGCTCGAGCTCCATGCGGCTACTGCATCGGACCACAGCAGCAGCGGTAATGACCGCGACTCTGTGCGCAGCGGTGACAGCTCAGGCTCAGGCTCCGGAGGTGGAGGCGTAGCACCCGCCTTCCCTCCCCCACCCGAGTCTCCTCCTGCTCTGCGGCCTAAGGACGGCGAGGCCCGCCGCCTGCTGCAGATGGACAGTGGGTATGCGAGCATCGAGGGCCGCGGTGCAGGTGACGAAGCCTCCGAACTTCCCGCTCCAGCCCGCAGCCCTCCCCGCAGCCCACGAGCCTGGCCACGTAGGCCACGCCGCGACTACAGCATAGATGAGAAGACGGACGCGCTTTTCCACGAGTTTCTGCGCCACGACCCGCATTTCGATGACGCACCACGCCATCGTGCACGTGCGCACCCTCACGCCCATGCGCGTAAACAGTGGCAACAGAGAGGCCGGCAGCACAGCGATCCAGGCGGCGCACGCGCGGCCACACCCCCCGGGGCGGTCCGTCCAGCTCGTGCGCCTTTGCGACGGGGTGACAGTGTCGATTGTCCTCCAGAAGGCCGTGCACTGCCAACCACGGGTGATGACCCATCTATTCCCGTCATCGAGGAGGAGCCTGGAAGCGGAAGCGGTAGTTGCCCAGGCTCCGGGCTGTGTGTCGAGCCCGCCGGGGCACTGCTGGACAAGCTGGCAGCTAGCCTCGATGAGAGACTCTTCTCGCACCGTCTTGCTGAGCCTGTTGCCTCATCCCCGGTGCTGATTGTCGCTGCTGCCCCCACGTCTCCCGACCACAGCCCAGCCTAAGCTCTGAAGTCCACCCGCTCTCCGCAGCTTCTCTGGTGACTTGTGGGGCCACTGCAGGGATGGTGGCCATAGGGTAAGAAACATGGGGTTGCCGTGCATGTGCACATAGCCCAATCCCAACTGCGCACGTTGACAGTATCCCATTGGGCACTTTGCGGGTCGCAGTGGCCTCCTGAGGTGCGTGGCTCCGGGACCCTGGCTCAGCTGCAGGGGAGATGAAGAGTTTGGACTCTCAAGTCCTTATTTGGCCAACCATGGCACTCAGCCTCTGGTGGTGGTGGAACAGGTTGTTCTGAAGAGCACAGGTAGCCTCCCTCCAGGACCACCAGAGAACCATTCGTGGGCACCTGCTGGCGGTGCCATTGCCTAACATTTGCATGCATGAACCTACTGGAGGGGAAGGGACCATAGGGCACTGAGGATCAGAGAGAAGCTCGCCACACCGAACCCTGAATCCATTTACCTCATCGTCGAGTGTGCTCTGGCAGCAGCCATACAGCACCGTACCCTTCCTCTCCGAGCAATAATCGTCCTGCTCTCAGCATGTGCACAGGCCCCACCCCATTCCTCCCCAAGCCTTGGGCTTTGAACATGCGGACAGAATAGCCCAGGGGGCAGCTTCAAGTTTCCCAAGCTTTATTTATTGCCAAAATATAGGGCGGCCTCGCCTTTGAGTGCCCACCCACTCCCTGCCCTCCGTGGGTAGTTGTGTTGTCTGGTTGATCATAAATGTCTGCATACTCGCTTGCTCTGGGTTTTCTCTGCAGGCCACCACGTGCCCCGCTTGCTCCACATTTCCAAATACCCTCACAGCCACAGCTCAAATCCACCTGTTTTATTAAAAAAAGGAACCAACCCAAAGACAGCGAGGCTCGCGGGGCAGCATGCGGGCGAGGCCGGCCAGTGGTCTCGACATAAAGTGCTTCTGGGGCGGTGGGTACACCCTCGGCTTCAATGTCCGAGTGTTTGGATGGGTGGGCCCGAGAATCGCAGCCTTGCTGGGGCACCTGCCCAGGGATCCTGGTGACACTGCAGATAGAAGGGGTTACTCAGCAACTGGCCCCCTGTAGGGAGGTACACACCTCCCCCAAGGGGGTAGACCCTTTGCACAACCATGACTGGTAAGGGCTGTGCCCTCAGTCACCAGACCTCACCCCCATGCGGCCAGTGAGGCCTTATCCCCAGGGAAAGAGCACAGCAGACACCCAATGACCACCAAGCGGGGCCTTCTCCATCCCGACCCTGTGCACACCTGCAGGCTGTAGTCACTGCTGTTTGCAGGCTGAGAGCCTGCGGATCTTGTTGCTGGAGCATGCCTTGCGAGCAGGGTTGGTGGTGCCAGGTCGGCCTTCTGGCTTCACCTTGCTGCTGAGCTGGGGCTCTGTGCCATTCACACACACAGCTTTGGGCAGACTGCGGCTCTGTCCATTCTGACCCACTTCCTCTTCCAGGACCTGTCCTGCGGGAAGATGGCAGGCATGGCTTGAGCAAAGGGACAGACAACCCAAAGCCCCAGGGCCCAGCCAGCCCCAACTGCACCAGAGGCTGGTCAGGCTAGGCCTTCTAGCCTCCTGTCCAGCCAGCCCCAGCCTTTCCAGTAGTCTGCCCTGCCCCCCCCCCTGCAGTATGCCCATGCTCACCTGCCTGTCTAGCACGGGCAGCCCAAGTACCAGCTCACAGAGCTCTCTCTCCAAGTGAGCCAGGCTCTAGACCTACAATAGGCCCATGGAGATGAAGCACTCAGCCTGGGGGCTACTAGCTGTGCTGAGAATGGGAAGACCATCCAGCAGGGGGCTATTAAGCCTAGCTTGCTCTGTTGGCCTGCCTTCACGGTAGTGACAGGTCACCTTTCCAGAAGCTCCTCAGGAAGTGGACAGTCTCTAGCACGTAACTACATAGCGACCAGATGCTTGAGATGTGGCTATGGGAACCCAACAGAGGTCCCCTGTCTGTGCTCTTGGATCCAGAATCCCTCTCCCAAAACCTCTGATTTGGCCCAGACTGGCAGCACCCACCATGCCCCTCACTCTGGGCTGGCTGGACACTGGGGCATGAGGTCAGGTGGACCCTGTAGTAGGAAGTCCCTCCCCACAAGGCACTGGATAGGTAGAAGATGCCTTTGTCCTGTTGTTGCAGAGCACAATCCTCATGCCAGGTGCAGAGGTTGTCCTTAGAGTACTGCCACTATACAGCACTGTCCCAGGTGACCCATGGGCCCCCACAGCCACCCAGACACAAGGCAATGTCCTCAGACCCCTCCCTATGACCTCCCCTTCCTTCAAGCCACAGTATCCCTGAGGGTCCCCAAGATACAGTGCAGTGTCATAAGTGCACCTCTCCCCCACCAAAGAGCCCATTTGTAGGCCCTGTCAGGTGCTAGTCAGTTCTCAGCTGAGAGCCCAGCCTGGGGCACATTCCAGCCAAGGGCTCCAAGTGACAGGGTCCTCACCACGGAGCAAAGGACGTTATTAGGAGGACTGAACTTTGGGGACTGGACATTAGGATCCCAGCTGGCACTCAGCAGACACTGCTTCCAGAACCCTCAATTGCTACAGGGACATCAGGGGCCTCACCCTCTCACACACAACTTTTCAATGGGCCAGGAGCTGCCTACCAGTAGGGCCTGCCTGAGACACAAGGACAAGGGCCCTGAGAGCCCTAGCCAGTGGTAATCTTGGTACTAAAGGCCTAGTTCAGGCCTTGGACCGGGGTGTGCTTTTTGATACCCTGGTGGGAAGCCTGCCAGGGTAGTGACAGGGAAGGCAGTCGCAGCAAGCATCCACCTGCAGACACAGTGGACAAAGCTTTATGGAGGGCATGGGTGGGGCAGCAGCCAGGGAGCTACACTAAGGCCTCGAACCCCTCCTCGGGCTGCTCTCCAGGAAGGCCTGCGCCCTGGCTCTTCCACATGCATGTGTCGCATGCATCCTCGCTAAGCCCTGCCTCGGCCGCCTCCTCCTCGACACCTGGGGAAGAAGGCGATATAAGGTCAGGCATGGCCAGGACTGAGGGCCACTGGACCCTCCCTCATGTGGCTGTCTCAGGGCACCTGCCCACTGCCCTCCAGGGTCCCCTCCTCCTGCTACACACAGCCAGGGAGGCCATAAGAAGCTGCAGATAGGGCCCAGGGAGCCCTTCAGCTAGCTCAGAGTTCACTGCCTCAGCCACCAGGATGGATTTGGCAGTTTGGTGGCTCAAGTCAGACTGAAGCCTTGGGGAAAGGACCGGCCCCAGAGAGCACAAAGGTACCAGCTCCAGGGTGACCCAAGTCTGGCCAGCTCACCAGGCACCGTGAAGTCCTGGGTGTAGATGATGCCATCCTCAATGTCAAACAGGTCCTCATCCTCATCTTCATCAGCACGGCCATGCAGGTCCTCCAGATAGGGCACCACTGTCATACTGCGCCAACGATCCTTAGTGTCTGGGCTTGGTGGGATGGGCACTAGCGCTTCAGCCAGCGGGTGTTTCTTCCGGAACCAGCTGTAAACAATCAGTAGCAGTAGAGCAATCAGATGCTGGGTATCCAATGACCACAGCTGGCCACTCATACAGGATGAGGCCTACCATAGCCCAAACACCCCAAGGCTGCTCTTGTGGAGGACAGGGCCTCAGCACTTAGACTATAGGCTTGAGGTCTCAGCAATAGCACCCAGGGTCCTGCATGTGCACTCACACTAACAACCCCAGAAGCCACTGCCCATTGCTGGCAACCACAACTCCTTGAGCCAAGGTTAGCAATCAGGGCCCACACCTACCTATAGTTCCACCTATCGGGAGTAGAGATAGGCTGGAAGCCTTCCCTGGGGAATACCCTTATGACCCTGCCCAAAACGAAGGTGGCAACAGGCCCAGGAACAACTGGCAGGGCCAGAGACCACAAGCCGCCCTAGACCCAGGCTCCAACCTTCATGTGGGGGAGGACACGGTGCCCCACACTTCCCACTGACCTCCATGGCTACACACTCATGCTGAGATGGTCAGGCTCCACTAGGTCAATAGCCAGAGTGGCACCTCCCTTGAGGCCTGGCAAGGCCTTCTGTGTTCTTCCCATCTACTCCTGCCACAACCTCCCACTATGGTGGAATTGCCTCAAACTCTGGCACCCCTCAACAGGAAAATAGAGGGAGGCAAGCCTGGGACAGGGTAGGTCTGGAAGGCTCTTAGCCATGCCTGCACTGGGCACCAGGAGGTAGGGAAGAGCTAGCATCCCTTATACCCCAAGTTCACACAGTGCCTCTCCATGCCAGAAGCAGCAACACACACACACACACACACACACACACACACACACACACACACACACACACACACACACACACCCTCACTCCTGTGACCACCCAGCCTCTGTACCAATGCTCTTATGTGCACTGTAAGGGCAGCGCTCACCTGTGTTGCCTGATCTGTCGGATGGAGAACCTCTTGGCTGGCTCGTACTCCAACATCCCTGTGTAACACAAGAGTCAGTGCAGCAGGTGCCTGCCTTTCCATGCCACAGCCCCGCCTTACCATCCACCCAGCTGACCGACCTTCCTAGGCCCTAGTAAGACAGCAGCAGGCAGCCTGGGCATAGCATTGAGGAGCCCCCTACAAGATGAGGCCATCAAAGCTGATGCCAGTGCCACCTGGTGCAGATAACCCCTGCATTATCTTCACAGGCACCAAGGAAACTGCATTCCAGAGACTTCCCTTGCCAGTCAACAGGGGCTGTTCTATTCAAGTCAGGCCACTGGCCCTGTCCCACTGCCATCTCTGGCCACCTAGGGACTGCAGGAGAGAGTCCCACTGACTCAGAACCTCTCCACAGACCAGTTCTGTCCCTAGCTGCCCTAGTATGCAAGGTGACCCACAAGTCACCAGGAAGATGCCCACCTCGGAGCAGGTCAGAAAGTGGTGGGCCGCAGTCACAAGGTATGGTGAAGTCCCCTCTCCCGATGTTCTCAAACAGCTTGTAGATATTGTCTCCCTCGAATGGGTACAGGCCTGTGGTGATGTTGTAGCTTCACAGAGGAGGACAGTGTCAGTGCTGGCCACACCTGAGCCAGAGGCCAGGTGCCCAAGGCCAGAAAGGACAAATGTTAACTGGCAGACGTGCAGCCATCTACCAGCACCCTACATATAGCAAAGCCCTGTGAGGTGGTGCATGGAAATGGAAGAGAACTACACTCACAGACCTGGCCACACCCTGTGGATAAAGCCCAAGAACACTACAGAAAACCCACAGTTCCCCATCTTCTGCAGGGTCCACAACACTTACAGTGTGACCCCAGCTGACCAGATGTCCACCTTGAAACCTGAGAAGGTGTCCAGTCCATTGGCGATCTCTGGTGGCTGGAAGGCTGGGGAGCCCTGGCTTGTCCGGCAGGTGTCATCCACAGCAAAAGGGTGCAGGGCCTGCAGGGCAGTGAGAGTCAGGAGTGCTCAGGAGAAGTGGCCCAGGAGCCCTGCACACGGTGCCTACCTCGGCAACACCCAGGTCGGAGATCTTGAGCGTGCCATTGGTGGTGAGCAGCAGGTTGCCCGGCTTGATGTCCTTGTGCACAATGCCCTGGCTGTGTAGGTACTCCAGGCCGTCAATCAGCTGGCGGAAGTACCTGAATGGGTGGGACCAGCTCAGGCCCCACAGGGTCTCAGCCCCATACCATGGTGCCCACACAGGCCTGCTATGCAATTTGGGAGAATCACAAGGCCTGGCTCACAAGGGGACAGGTGTTTGGGGTTCAGGTAAACAGACATGACAGTCAGAAGGCCCATTGGAAATCACACGGGGCAACTATAGTCACTGGTGCCTAGGCCAAGGGTGCCAAGTCTCCCCTGTAGCTTCCTTCCCTCTTCCCCTTCCCTTGGTTCTATGTCAACCAGGGAATTGTAACCCTGCTGAGACTGGGAGACTTGGCCAGACTTCAGAGTCAGACTCTGCAGGACAGTGGGCCCACAGGGCCTAATACGAGAGGGACTCCCAAGCATACTGGCTGGGCTGAAAACTGAGGACCCACAAACACCTGGGTTTTCCTGACAATGGCTGACATGAGCCACAGAAAGTGTTGGCTCCTTCTCCAGCACCTAGCAGGGCACTCACCCATGGGCCTGGCACACCGGGAAGCGCTTCTCCGGCACACTGTCCAACATCTCCTGCATGCCACACACGCAGTACTCCATCACCATATACGTAGGGCGCTAAGGAAAGCAGCACACGCCAGGCCCTGGTAACCCTGCTCTGAGCAACAGTGGTCTGGAAATGCCTTAAAACCCAAGGGAAACTGAGGCAGTGAAGACATTGCTGAGGGTACAGGGCCCTGCTGGGCCAGTACACTGCTACCACTCTGATGTCTGGACATCATCTGTTGCTCCCTACCAGTACTCGCAGGACCCACAAGGCCACTGCACTGCCCTGGACCACATGGAGTCAGCATAGGACACAACAGAACCAGAAAAGGGCTGGTCTACTGGCCAGACTAGGGTGGAAGGGGTGCCTAGAAGTTGAGGCTGCAATCAACTACAGGGCATTGGGCTCTGCAAGCTCTACCCCTGGGAAGGGGCACCAAGGGAAACTTTTAGAACAGAGGCACTGACAATTCATGCGGGCTCCAGGTACCCTAGATTATGCCCAGGTGTAGCCAGAGGCCAGACTAGGCTGGCACAAGATGGAAGCTCCATGCCCCACTCACTCTGTCTGCTAAGTTGCCAGGTACCACAGGACAACACGCAGAGGTTCTGGCTATAGAGGGTTCCACTCCCTACCACACACAGGGACCACCCCACCCAACTCCACCCCACAGGATATATCTTCTGCTTCTCCTCATTGTACAGCACGTCCACCAGCTGAATCACATTCCGGTGCCGCAGCCGCCGCAGCAGCTGGATCTCCCTGTAACAGAGGACACTGCTCAGCCGACCCTGCCTGTTGTGAAGCTGCCCATCTGGGAACACAGTAGACATGGGGAAAGTAGGGTCATGCCTCCTGCTGGCCTGTGACACTTGGCTCCATCCCAGGGACAATCCCAGGACACTTCATAAAAGCAAAGCCCCATGTCAAGTGGCACAAGCCCAGCACCTAATGAGCCTGGAGCTGGGCTATGACAGGGCCACAGGGGCTTCTCCCAAGCACTGTTCCAATTCATAAACCTGGATGTTCCTCAACTGGGACAAAGGACAGTCCAGAGGCAGGCAGCAGCAGGAACAGCCACCATGGTGCGTCGAGGAAGACACTGGTCCCACATGAGAGCCACTGTCCAACAGGTTGATGGGGCTGCTAGCTAGTCTTAGAGGCTTTCCTTAGCTCAGGGCTGATGCCTAGATGGTAACACAGCATCTCAACAACAGAAGCTCAACCTCCAAGTACATGCACAACACCCATCCTGTACCGCCTCACACACAGAAAGCTACCAGCAACCGAAAGGCACAGGCCAGGGTTGACACATTGATAGACACATGTAACATGGCCCACCACCAGTATGAACAGGAACAAGGCCCAGTGAGAGACCCAGGCAGAAAATGCCACACAGTGTGGGCCTTCATGATAGGAAACATCCAGAACAAGTGAATCCACAGATAGGGTTCACTGGGGCCTGAGGGTATGGCTGGGGTGGATGGCTCATGAGGGCTGCCTTTGAGGTGATGGAACACTACAGAACTAAACAGGGGTGGCAGCTACACTGTGCACATTCTCCATGAGGCTGGAATGCCATAGTGAGGGCAACATGGAACACCTCTCCAGTTTGGTTTGAATCCTCACCGACAAGCTCAGCTGGGTTGAAGTGTGTCCCTCCCTAGCCTGCCTTCACTTCCCCAGGCCCCACTTCTAGAACTCTCCCTGATCACAGCCCACTGGGTATCCATCTTATACTCTGAGCTGTCCTCCTCCTGACCCAGTCACAGGGTTGGTGTGGAGGGGAGGGCCTTGGGAGCAGGCTGCAGGGGAAGAGGTGTTTTGCTCTGAGTGTCATGCTTTCACCAAGGGTCCGAATTCAACAGTGCCCACCCAGACTGGGTACACCGAATTTATGGAGCTGTTCTGTGTTCCCAGCCTGATGGGAACACACTGGGGCCAGCAGGACACCATAACTGTCCATCCTCAACAGGGTGGATACAAGAGGCCTTGGAGCTCAGTCTTTGTTCATTTTCTGTCCCCAGAGGACAAACATGAAAGTGAAACCACACAGACTGGATGCACAACCAGAAGTGACTATCAAGCCACCCAAGGGTACCAAGACAGGTACTGGTATTAGGAAACTACAGTACCTGCTCTTAGGGTTCTTGGGAAGCCACCTCAAAGATGATTGGACCAGTGCTCAGATCCAACAGGATCCAACCCCAAATCCTACCAGCTCCCCACTTCCACACTGAGTTCCAGGCAGTCACTGAGCTTTAGAATCAAGGCTCTCATCCTGATATCCCCACATGTCACACCAGGGTGAGCAGGGTCTGTTACAAAGGCAGGGCTTGAAGTGCACTAAGAAGGTGAGCGCTGAGGCAGATGCCATGCCCAGCACCAGTGGACACCTCTGTGACAGAGGTCAATACTCATTATACAGATGGCGATCAAGGAAGAGAGGAAATTTGAGCAGAATCAGCTGACAGCTGTGCCCTACAGAGCCAGACCATCTCCCCACAGGCAGTCCACCTGGACAGTCTCCTGGGTGCTGTGCACAATATGGCCATAGAAGAAGAACCAGGCGGAGGCCCAAGCATCAGGCTATGGGCTCCCAGGATAGGACAGCCAACCCCAGCTAACAGAGACATTGCCAACACCTAGCACACATGCACATGAGCACACACACAGCAGTGAAAGTTGGCACTACTCCACATACAGCCATCAATCAGCTGTCCTACAGAGGGCCAGGGCCACATTGCCCTCTTTGCCAATTCAAATTGTACTCCCCAGGTATTGCAGTTTATGCACAGCAGCAAGCGGAGGTCCTTTCTTGGGGATCAAGTAGCTTCACCTATGTCCCTGGACACCAATGTCCCAAGGTCCCCAACTGAGAACCTGAACTCCAAGGGTCCATCAACTCCCTGGGCTCAGTGTCATCTGTAGGCTGTGCGCTTGTAGGCTTCTGGGGCAGAGCAAGACCTCAAGAGAAACTGGTTGTAATATGGTAACATCTAATATGCCCCAACTTCCTCTCAGCCTCCTGACCAGGGCAGCTGTCTGGAAAAAGGCCCTGGGCTCGAAACAAGCAGTGCTTTAGCCCCACCATTCAGAAGGCAGAGCTCTTTCTTTCCCTTAAAGGCCAGCCTGGTTTACACAGTGAATTCTATCTAGGACGGCAGGAATTATGTAGAGACTGTGTCCTAAAAATAAATGAAAAAGCCAGGCAGTGGTGGCTTTGCCTTTAATCCCAGCACTTGGGAGGAAGAAACAGGCAGATCTCTGTAAATTTGAGGCCAGCCTGGGCTAGAGTGAGCTCTAGAACAGCTAGGGATACACAGAGAAACCCTGTCTCAAAAAACAAAACAAAAACACACACACAAAAAACCCCACAACAATTACCCCACCCCATGCCCAAAAAAATTCAGGAAGTCAGCCAGGCATTGGTGGCGCACACCTTTAGTCCCAGCACTTGGGAGACAGAGGCAGGCGGATCTCTTTGAGTTCGAGGCCAGCCTGGTCTACAGAGCTAGTTCCAGGACAGGCTCCAAAGCCAGAGGGACCCTGTCTCAAAACACAAACAAATAAAAAAAAAAAAAAAAAAAAATCAGGAAGTCCCTGAAACTGACCAGATTCATTAGGTCCCTCTCTCCCAGGGTGAGCAATAATGGTGCTGAGACCAGTAGCCTGCCTGAAGATACAAAAAGCAGCCTGAAGAGGTTTAGAACCTGAGTCACTTGGAAAGGACACTGTACAACCTGTTGCACTGCCTGCAGGCTTTTATGAGCTGTCACCCATGCTAGGGTGGGCTTTGGTGACGATGCTGTCTGAGTCATTTCTGCTCCTATAAGTGACTTCCCATCCACACTCCTGCTAATGTTCATTGGTTTACCATGCTGGACTTTGGTGGTATCTGTACTTTGGTCTGTTGAGGGCTCCCTATCTGGGGTAAGTACAAAAGTGAAGGGACTCTAGCCAGCTTGAGAAGGGCAAGCATGCCCTTCTCCCCAATTCCCTCTTCTTTGCTAAACTGTCAGCTTACATTCCTAAAGCTAGCCACCAAGGTCTAGTCTGCCTCCCTGTGCCTCCTGCCTGCAGATATGATGTAATGTGATGTGACCAGGTACCTCACAGTCCTGCTGCCAAGCCTCCCCTACAGGGAAGAATTATACCTACAAGCCCTTCCTCTTCTGCAGCCTGCCAGGTATAGGATAACAGTAAGGAGACAAGTGATGATCACAGCATCCCAATGACTGGGCATGGTGCACACACCTGCAATCCTATGCTCAGGAAGCTGAAGCAAGGAGAATCTTGAGTTTGAGGCAGCTTGGGCTACATTCAGAGTGAAACACTGTTTTTAAAAAACTAAGACTGGAGAGATGGCTCACCAGTTACAAGCTCTTCCAGGTGACCTAGGTTCAATTCCTGGCACCTTACACAGTGGTTCACAACCATATGGAACTTCAGTTCTAGGGGATCTGATGCCATCTTTTGGTTTCTCCAGGTACTGTATGCATCAGGAGCACATACATGTAGATAAAATACTCATGCACACAAACTTTTAATAAAGAAAAACTTACTGCTTATGAGGCTCACTGGTTGAACATCTAAGGCCCTGACCAAGCCCCCAGTGCCTACTCCTACCCATAGGAATGTACTTGAGGGCAGGAGGCAGCCTGAGGGCCCAGGCAGGTTCAAGCACAGGAATGGCCCCACCCCCTGGCTGCAAGCCCTGGAGCTGCAGGGCTTTGTGTCACCCACCCCACGTTCAGTAAAAGGGAGAAGGAAGTGGGCAGGTGCTGCACACACATCAGTCATCTGGAGTAAAGCAGAGACAGCTGCAGGGCAGCCAGGGCTGCATAGAGAGCCCTGGCTCAGAAACAACAGAAAATGACAGGGGAGAGAAAATGCCTGTGCAGTAGCACTGGAGAAGGCAAGAAGCCAGCATAGCACAGCTGAGAGCAGAGAGCACAGGCAAAGGAGGAAGTCTCTTCTGCTAGGTCCCACCCAAGTTCCTCTTGGGCAGCCCAGGCAAGGCCCAGACAGGATGCATAGTAGTAAGCTCTCTGGCCAACTAACCAAAGCTGAGACTACAAATGTGCTGAAGATGACAAACCCCCGGCCTTCAGCCTCAGGCATTCCTGTACCCTAGATAGACCCCCTAAGCTTAGGAGTCATCAAGCCAACTCAGCCCTCAGGGTAGCAGAACTCAGTGACAGGGTACCTGCCTTGCCATGTGCCAGGCCTTGGCTCCATCCTAGCACTGAAGAAGGAAAGGTGGGAACCACAACAGATGCAGCGTCCTAAACGCTGCGGTGTGATTCTTGCCCTCGGAAGCAGATGCTGGAGTGCTCCACCTACGCCCTAGTACAGTGTGCTGACTGCCCAGCACTGCCCTGACAAGGACAGTGGATAACAGGGAGAGAGTAAGCTTGGCAGGCAGGCAGAAGGACCTGAGTAGCACCCCCAAATACCCATAAAGAGCTAACTAACTGTGGTGATGCACACGGTGAGCACACACACCAGCCTAGTCACCTGGCTCCAGCTCACAGTCTGAAATAAGGTGGACTGTACCTGAGAGACAATACCTAAGGCTGACCTCTAGCTTCCACATGCACATACACACATACACAAACTCACAATGAAGTGACCCACAGGAGGCCATGGCATAGATGAGGGCACACATGCAGCGTCATGGCTTGGTCCCTCAGGCAGGCAGTGGGAGCAGCTTGTCAAGTATGCTCTAAATGTTCTGTGAGCTGAGGGTTGAAAGCTGACAAAATTCAGGGCTCTGCTTCCCACCTCGCTAGCATCCCAACTATGTGTAGTCCACATAGCAGAGCCTGCCAGTCACCATGGGGTGGCCTCCAGTTGTCCCTGGAGAGCTGCCAGCACCTCCCATGTCCCCAGCAACACTGACAGGTGCAGATCCAGACAGGGCAGCGACACCCAACAGCTGAGCATACTGCCTACCTCCCATCCCTAAGTGGCCAGAGGCCATCCAGCACAGGCCGCTCTGCCCAAGCAGGTGCTCCCTGTCCCCAAGGGGAGCTGGTCGCTAGGCACTTTGCAAAGGGCACACAGCTTGGCTATGCATGATCCATAGTGCCAGGACCAAACTTTTGGTAGCAGGGCCTTCAGCCCTAACGCTTGCCTGAAGGGCAAACTAACATAGGAACTAGAAATGAAGAGGGTCAGAAGCAAGAGCCAGCAGGACTGGGAGAACAGAAACTCAGGACTCCAACGGCCATAGTTGACCATCCATGACCTACAGCTGACAGAGAGTAACCTGATAGGGATGTGTGCCCAGACTCAGCACACAAAAAACACCCTTGAGGCCCAGAGCTCAAGAGCAAGAATTATGTCAAGACCCTGCCTCAGAGAAACAAATGTTTTTCATGGTAGTACACAAATGTCATCCCACCACTCAAGAGATACAAGGTCATCCCTAATTTGAGGCCAGCCTGGGTTACATGAGACAAAACACTCAAACTGGGGGACAAGAGAAGGCTCAATGGTGAAGAATATTTTTGGCTCTTGTAGAAGACCTGAGTTCAGTTCCCAGTACCACGTTAGTCAGTTAGTCAGTTCATAAGTCTAGATCCAGAAGACTATGACAATGCCCTCTTCTGACCTCCAAAGGCACCCAAATACATTAACATCCCCATTCCTACCCACCTATCCCACATACACAACAAAATATATAATATACAGGGCTGGAGAGATAGCTTAGCAGTTAAGAGTACTGACTGCAAGCAAGGCAGAGGGTGGTGGCATACAACTTTAATCCCAGCACATGGGAGGCAAAGGCAGGGGGAATGGTCTCTGAGTTAGAGGCCAGCCTGGTCTATAAGTGAGTTCCAGGACAGCCAGGGCTACGCAAGGAAATCCAGGCTCAAAATCCAAACCAAACCAAAAGAATATTGACTGCTCTTCCAGAGGACCAGGGTTCAATTCCCAGAGCCCACATGACAGCTCACAACTGTCTGTAACTCCAGTACCAGAGGACCTAACACTTTCAGACATACACACAGGTAAAACACCAATGCACATAAAACAAAAACAAATTATGTATACAAGGAAAAAAAAAGGCAAATGAGAAGCAAACACACAAAAGCATTCTCTAGGTTGACCAGCCTCAGTGCAGAGCTCTTGCCAGGTTCATGCCCTAGACTGTAGCATACAGACATCACTAGACCAGGAGACTCATGTCTTATGTGTGTGTGGGGGGGGGGGCGGGGTTGCATTTCCTTAACCTGTCCCTGTTGATAGGTCTCAGAACTATGTCCATTCACAAGCAAAGGGAAACAAGGCCTGTCAGTCAGGGCAGGACACCCACAGCACACTGAGGAGCAGCAGGTCCCTGCAGCCTTCTCAGAAAGGGAGGTGCCACACTGCCTTACGCCTTGGCAGGCATCCACACTATCGTAGTGGAAGGAGAAAGCTTTGCATACAGACTGTGTCTGGAAGGTTCCGGACACTTCGCCATGAGAGAGACAACTTGAGTGGAGTTTATTAAGTCCTGAAAACAAAGGGGCCTTTTTGACTGGGCCAGCTGTCAGCCAAGCTGTCCCTTCCAGGCTGTGACTGTGCATGTAGGTCACAGAGGCAAGTGCCCACAGCCTCAGGGTTCACACTGCACAAGCCACTTAGGCAACAGGGCCACACTAGTACTCTATCACAGACACCTGGCCTTGGGTCATGCCATTCTAGGACCTCGGTACAGGGCAGTTTGCCAGACAGTCTGCAACTCTGGCCTCATTTTCTCCTGGTTTTATTCTTGTATGCATGCATGTGTCATAGCACACACATGGAAGCTTGGTCTGCTTTCACCATGTGGGTCCCAGGGCCTTCATATGCACTGAGCTAGCTTGTGAACTCTAGTTTTCCTTATGGCTGGACTAAAAACTGAAGCAATCCGCAATCCTCCTGCCTCAGTCTCTCTAGCATTGGGATGACAGGTGCTACTTGCCCAGACCAACTCCCACTCTTGGGGAAGAGTCCAAACTCCTTATAGCACCCTAGTCATCTAGGAGTTGGTGGCCATCAGTAGACTGTGTCCAACGTCCCTCTAAGCTCACATGTGACACCGGCCATTCCCATTCCTCCCCCCCAATTCAGGTGGGGCCACTTTGGGGCCTACGAACCAATTCTCTCACCTGAACCTGCCTGGCTCTGCAAGCCACACCCTGACCAGGGCAATGTTATGTACAAAGGCACGAAACCTGGGGTAGCAGGTGAGGGCTTCGCAATCATGGACAGAACTGTGGAGCCCTCAGTCACAGGTAGAGACAACACACAGGCTTGCCATGTGCATATGGATTGCTGCTGACCTCAAGCCAGGATCCAGGCAGCCTGGGCAGTCAGATACATTGGGCTGCCGGGGGCCATTACCCTGAAGCCAAAGGGGGCTGAAGACCTGAGGGGCCACTTGCCTCAGGAGACCAGCAGACACCACCCAGACATAAGGTGAGCAGCCTATGGCACTTCCACTTTCAGAAGACAGTGATTTGGACCCAGGTTTTCCCCAGCTCAGGTCTCTGACCTCTAGCTCCTCCTACTTGGAGGAACACTAACAGATCCCCCAGAGCCAGACTGACCCAGGGCCACTCCTACATAAGAAGTCAAACAAGTCTGAGGCTAGCCCAGGTCACTAGCCTGCCCTGCTCCACCAGCTGGGTCCAGACACCTGGTCCTGGGGAGCTGCCCAAGTCCCTGAGAGTACCACTCAAGAGCAGTGCCCAACAAGGAGCTCCCAGCTTTTCCTGGGACAGGACCACAAGCAAGGTCACCAGTCAGGCAGAGAGTCTCCACCAGTGCTGGCCCCACAGATAAGGCCCCTTCTTGGAAACCAGTAGGTGAGGTTTGCTAAGTTCCACCTGGTCCCCACGGCCCAGCGACACCAACCAAGCAGGACACCGCAGGGATCCGCGCCAGCACTGGCTAGCTACCTCCTGCCACTGCCTCCCTCTCCCAGCCTGTGTTCACCATTATTTTTGGCCCCACCAGTTCCCTCTGACTCCGTAAACAAACTAGCCACCCGCCTGGCAACGCCCGCCAAGGAAGCCAGGCCCGGCCCGCGCCAAGATCCAGCAGAAAGAGGAGGACTGGACGAGGCCACACGACCTCCCACTAGTGAAGTCCTGGGGGCTCCCCAGCACACGGTCCCCATGCGGTGATATTCAGGGATACATGGGATAGATGGATAGTGAGGGAGGGGAGGGAAAAAAGAGGAAGGAAATGAGAAGGGGAGGAAAGAAAAGAGCCAGGAAGTAGAGAGGAAGGGCCGCCCAAAAGCTCAAGGCAGTGCCCCAGCCGGCCCCAGGCCCTTGGCACCTACTTCTTGACGTTGGCCTCGCCATTGGGGATCCTGCGCAGCTTTTTCTTCTTGAGGATCTTGACCGCCCTGCGACACAAGGTCTCGGAGTCCAGCACCTCCTTCACCTTGCCGTACGATCCCTCCCCGAGCAGGTCCCCCATCAGGTACTTGCCGATGAGCTTGGCGCGCTTGCGGCGCGGCTGGTAGATCACCTCGGTGGAATCGATGCGGTGGATGAAGGTGTCCATGCCCACTGATATCAGCTCACTCTCTGGAAAGAGGCCCAGCGGCTGGGGATCCGCCACGTCCATCTTGGCCCAGTCTTTGTCCCCTTCAGGGACGCCAATTCTTTTCGAGTTCGAATCTCCCCCCGCCCCGCCCCGCTTCTTCCAAATGTTTAAGAAGAAAAAGCCCTCCCCAACCCTCCCGGTCCCCTCAACCGGGTCCACGTCCCCTTCGTGGGCGCCAATTCTTCACTTTTGACTTCTCCCCCTTTCTTCTAGATGTTCAAGGAGGAAAAAAAAAATAGAATGAAAAAAGCAACGAGCCCCGCCAACCCTCGCGTCCCCTCAATTCGGGTCCCCGGGGACGCTGCTTCCGACGGAGGTGACGGTCCGCCGTCGCGGCGCGCGGGCCGCTAGGTCATGGTCGCCACTCGGGCCCCGCGCTCAGGCGCTCAAGGCAGCAGCGCCGAGGCCAGTCCGCGCCGTCCATGTCCGGCCCGCGCCGACGCCCCACGCTGCCCCTTAGTTCCGTGACTTCCTGGGACGTGGACTCCACCCGGACGCAGGGCACCAGGACACCCGCAGGCCGCAGGTACCGAAGTCGGGATAGTGAATATTCCGGAGACCGACGGGGGAAAAAACACCCCGGGCGGCGGGTCCCCCTCGCCGCCAAGCCGCCGCGCGACAGGCAGGAGGCCGGAGCGGCGAGGGGGTAATCGAACTCCAGGCAGAAAGATGCTGCCCGCGAGGGAAAACTTCAAGCCGGCGCCACCCTCCGCGGCTCGCGCTTCACTCCCGGACACGGTGAGCCGCCTCCCCTTTCCTAGACCGACACGCCGCCGCCATCTTGTTTACCGCCCTGCGCCGCGCCGTCGTCGCACGCCTTAACGGCGGACACGCCCCCTCGCGGAGCTGACGTGCGCGGCAGTTGGCTGTACCCTTAAGCCCCGCCCCTCGGACCCGCCCCAACCCTCAATGCGGATTGGCCTATTTGGATCCGAGTGGGCGCTCGAACTGACATTGGATAGTTCGGGTTCCACCTCAGAAGGCGGGATCTACGTTTTCATTGGTTGGTTCAGACGCCCGTCAATGAGAACTGGAGTAAGCAAGCGACTGTAAGGGAGCGACATGAGCGGCTGTGGGCTGTGGCTTCAAGCCCCGCCCCTCAGTGGGGCTACAGAGATAGAATTGGTCAGCGCTGGTGTGTGTAGGCGGGACCTTATCTCTGAATGGTTGTTATAGACGTCCGTCTACTAATGAGAGGTACCGTAGCTGGTGATAGTGACCTCGGAGTTTCAGGACTCGGGTTAGAGTTCACGCGCGCTAACGTCCTTTGGGGGACGGCCGCGAGTGGGAGGGAGGGGAGAGAGCCTCATGGTTCCCTAAATTGACCCGGTCTAGCCTCGTTCCCAACGGCCCTTGGGAGCGGGTCAAAGGTCAGAAAGCCCAGACTTGACAAATGGTAGCCTGGAGCCTTCCTGAAGCGCTGCCGATGTCCGTCCGAGTGGGGACAGATTCCGGCCGAGCGCAGCTGGCGCCATCCTTTCGTGCGCGAAATGAGAGCAGCTAGAATGGTGAGATGGCTCTACGGGTACAGGCGCTTGCCGTCAAATCTGACGACCCGAGTTCGATCTCCGGAAACGAAAGGTGGGCCGAGTGAACCGCCTCTCACTGGTGTCCTCTGATCTCCTTAGGCGCTCCGTGGCAGGCACACGCTCGCACGCACGCTCGCACATACATAAAATAAAATTGTTTTAAATAACAGCTGTCAAAAATGTTACTTGGAAAGATGGTGTCGCTGCTGGCCTCAACTTACCTGCAGGACACTGTTTTGGGTTATTTATTTATATTTTTAATGTATTTACTTTTATTGTGTGCCTATTTTGCCTGCATGTATAAAAATAAGGGTTGGGGTATAATTGAGGGGTGAGCGAGATCGACTCCCCTCCACACGCTAGACTTTGTTCACACAGGTTACAACGTCCATAGATCCCGGTGTCTGAGGTTCCCTCTGAGGCCACTAGAGGGCGCGGTGGACTACCAGAAGGATAGTGTGTGTCGAGGGGAAACAGGTAAAGGGTCTTGTTGCCAGACTTGACCTGAGTTCAACCCCCAGGACTTCTGCATACACAGAAATAAATTTAAGGAAAAAAATTCAGAGAAATAGAGCTATTAAGACAGTTGAGAGAGCCAGGCATTGGTGGCACACGCCTTTAATCCCAGCACTCAGGAGGCAGAGGCAGGTGGATCTGAGTTCTAGGCCAGCCTGGTCTACAGTGTGAATTCCAGGACAGCCTCCAGAGCCACAGAGAAGCCCGGCCTCGAAAAACCAAACCAAACCAAAGACAGTTGAGAGGAACACAAGCTAGAGAAAGAGGTAGGAAGACTGCAGGCTGGAGAGTAGTTAAGAGCACCCAGCTTCAATTCCCAGCACCCACATGGCAGCTCACAACTGTAATTCCACTTTTGGTGGATTTTGTGCCTTACTGTGGCCTCCAGAGGCATTAGACATGCATGTGGTGCACATACATTCAGGCAAAACACTCATGCAAAAATAAAATAAGTAATAAAATTTAAAAATTTGTTTAACAAAAAATACAGGGAGACAGAGGAGACAGAAACATACAGATAGAGGGAACATGGGGACCACTGAGTCACACAGCCCATACAGCCCTTTATAGGAGACTGGATTTTCACCTTCCATTTCATTGTTCTGACTCTGTTCTGAACAAGGGCAGCAATGCTGTCTCAAACACCGTATCTCTACGGTGACAGCCCTTTATGACAGCCATGCATGTCCCCAAAATGTCACCCTGAGTTCTCTGAGGGCAGAAGTGACCATCCTGTGAGAACTCTGGGTCAGAAACACACTTGGAACTATTGTGTGTGTTTCTATGTGTATGAATATATGTCACACACAAGTCCACAGAGGCTAGAAGTGGGCATCTGGTCCCTTGGAGCTGGAATTACAGATGGTTGTGAACTACCATGTGGGTGCTGGGGACAGAACCTGGGTTGTTTCTGGTAGAGCGACAGGTGCTTAACCACTGAGCCATCCCTCCAGCCCAAACATGGAAGTATTTCCATAAGAGAAGAGGATCTAAGACACTCCAAACAATGATCAGGCAGTGTGGGGAAAGAATCACCCTCCCTCTCTCACTTGAACTCCTGATCCTCTGGCCTCCCAGCTGGGATCACAGACATGCACTATGTCTGGTGTCTACCGGATGGACTTTTGTTTGAGTCTTTTAATCTGGAAATTCAGGAACTCACCATGTCTTCAACAGTAAGAATTACTCCCAAGATCCAGCAGGTTCCAGACAACAGAAGAATATGGGGCTGGCACTGGGGGAAGAGAACCGAAGATTAAAGGGATAAAGTCTGGGGCTGGGGGTCAGTGAATAGAGTGCCCACGTAGCCAGACAGGAGCCCCAGGTCCCTCCCCAGCACCATATAAATCAAATTTGCAGTATATCTGTCATCCAGCATACAGGGGGAATCAGGATTTCAAGGTCATCCTCTACTACATAGTGAGTTCCAGGCCAGCCTGGGCTACACACAGAGACTCTGTTTCCATAAAACATAAAAATACCAAACTGGGCCAGGAATGGGGGCACAGGCCTTTAATCACAGCACTCAAGAGGCAGGCGCAGGCAGATCTGTTTTCCAGGCCAGCCAGGCCTACTTAGTTTGAGAACAGCTAAGGCTACACAGAGGAAACCCTGTTGAAGAACAAAACAAAAACCGAACAAAAAACTCACAAAGCAAACAAATAAAAAATGTTCTTGAACTTCAAAATAAACAAAAATCCCCCTCTCCCCTTTGCCCCAGGTATCATAGCAAAATAGGGGATGGAAGACTGTAAGAGCAAGGGGCCAGGGAAGACCAGAAAAACAAAACTCATCTCCTGAGCAGGGTAGGCACTCAGATCACTGGGGCTCCCAGCAGCCTCTGCACCTGCAAATCCTCCAGTGAACAGGACAGCAGGGGTAGGAAGTGTCCTGAGTCCCACCCCTAACCAGGATGCCATGGACATTGGTGGCTGGAGAGAGGGACAGACGAGGCAGTTTTCTTTAAGGTGTGGTACCTGATAGTTGACCATACACCAGTTGATGGCCTTACACCCAGGAATATAGGGACAGCACCAAGTGGACTTGGTGGGTTATTAAAAAAAAAAAAAATAAAGGACATGAAATTGAGAGTGGGCAAAGAGGAGCTGGTCGGGTCTGGGAGATGTTGGGGGAAGGGATGAGGGTGAATGTGATTAAAAAGTACATTGTATGCATCTATGAAAATTTCAATAAAAGCTGGACGGTGATAGCACAAGTCTTTAATCCCAGCACTCAGGAGGATCTCTGAGCTCCAGGTCAGCCTGGTCTACAGAGTAAATTCCAGGACAGCCTGGGCTACACAGAAAACCTGTCTGAAAGAAAGTTTCAGGATATGATTTAAAGGTAGCTGGATTCCCTGGTATTCTTGGATTCCATTTCTAGCACGTACACATGGATAAATAACTTTAAGTAGGTGTGGTGGCAACACCAGTTCTAGGCCACCCTCCATTGCAAAGAGGTTGAGATTAGCCAGGCCTGTACTGGATACTTCCCTCTTCCCCTTTTTTGTTTTTGTTTGTTTGAGACAGGGTTTCTCTGCAACTTTGGAGGCTGTCCTGGAAACTCACTCTGTAGACCAGGGCTGGTCTCAAAACTCAGAGAGATCTGTGTCTGTCCCTCCTGAGTGCTGGGATTAATGGCGTGCACGACCACCCAGCTTCCTTCCCTGTTTCTAACCTGTCATATGCAGTGTCATGTTGCTCAACGCTGCCACCCCAGGCCCTTTGTACATGTTGTGCCCCAGACTTTACCCCATCATCCTGACTCTCGGGTGAGGTCTTAGTGACCTTGGCAACAGCTTAAATAATGAGTGAGTGGTTGTAAGTGATAGGGGAATGAATATGTGCTGAAAAGCAAGCTGCTACCCTTGCTTCCTTTTAGTACTCAGCCATAGCTGACTAATATAAATTGAATGATATTCTCCTAGTTCAGGACCCTGGGCAATGGACCCATTTGAGAGATGGGCAAGGAGAGCCGTCTGTTCCCTGGGCCTGAGATCAACACTCTGAGTGGGAGTCTGAGATAGGGAGTCTGCACCTAGGCGCCCTGAAGCTGAAGCACCATGGAAAAGTCTGGGCTGGACAATAAGAGGGAAGGCAAATCCCACTCCCTGTGTCCGCAGCCAGCGTCCTGCCCCAGCAGCCTTGTGTGTGTGTGTGTGTGTGTGTGTGTGTGTGTGTGTGTGTAGGCCTCAGTCACCTGATGTGAATCTTTATCCTGGTTTAATCTCATCTCTAAGAACAGGACCTTTGCATGTGATGTTCAGTTTTAAAAGTCCCCCTTCCCCAGCCCTACCTCCAGCCTACCATCTGCCCATTTGTGGGCAGAGCCATGTTCACTGCCCCACAAAGGCCTTCTCTGACCTTCATGTCTGGTTTCTGTTTCCTTTTTTTTCCAAGACGGTTTCTCCGTGTAGCTTTGGAGCCTATCCTGGAACTCCCTCTGTAGACCAGGCTGGTCTCAAACTCACAGATAGATATCTGCCTCTGCCTCCCAAGGGCTGGTATTAAAGGTGTGCACCACCACTACCCTGTTCTGTTTGCTTCTTTTAAGACAGGGTCTCCAGTAGTCCAGGCTGGCCTTGAACTTCTTATGTAGCCAAGGATGGCCATGAACTCTGCCTCCAGTACTTAGCACCGCTCTTGGACTCCTAACCCAGGGGCACAGTAATGAACACATTCATACCACAAGGACACTGTTTTCAGGGCAATTTGTTACACAGCTGTACTTATCTGATACAGACTTGCTATTACAACCAGCCCAGGCCAT